GCCGGGAGCTACTGCTCCCATCCCCCATCGCTGCCAGGGACTCCACGGGAGACTGTGCAGTGCGGCCCCCAAGCTGCAGCCTGGCCTAGGTGGGGTCAGGGCGCTGAGGTAGCCGGCCCAGCAGCCTTCCCGGAGGCCCCCGCTGCTCCTGGACACTGGGCGGGCTGGAAGGAAGCTAGCAGAGGGCAGTGAGTCCTCGATCTTCCAGGAGGGAAGCCAGACGGGGGCGTCTTTGGCTGTAGAGGGCAGCTGGGAGTGGCCCTGAGTGGCCTGAGGCTCAGTGCCCAGCAGCTGGACCTGACTCCTGTATTGTGTGTGCCAGTGTCCATGTGGGCAGAACAGGCCAGGGAGACCATGGGTTCCCAGAAGGCTCCCCAGGAGCAGCCATAAGCCCTGACAAGGCAATAGCAATGCAGCAACGATTTGGGGGGCCCCTGGGGACCTCTGGCAGCCTCACACTGGGAGTGGTCAGTGCTTACCAAGTTCGTGACCTGTCCAGGCACTAGACACTGTGCCTGGACAGGTCAGAGCTGCTGGGTAGAGCAGGGACTCTGAATCAGACCACCCGGTTTGAGACCTGGCTACGCCGCTAACGAACAGCGTGACTGTGGGTGAGACACACAACCTCTGCTTGGCTGCCCTGTTGTGGGGCCTACACAAGCTGATGCAGATGAAGTGCCTGGGACAGTTTCCAAGAGCTACCGTGTTTCCCCGAAAATAAGACATCCTCCGAAAATAAGACCTAGCGCATGGAAAGATAAGACATCCCCTGAAAATAAGACCTAGCGCAACTTTGGGAGAAAAAATTAATATAAGACACTGTCTTATTTTCGGGGAAACAGGGTATTAGCTGTGAATTCCAGCAAGTTACCCACCTTCTTGGTGCCTCATCTGTGAAATGGGACTCACAACAGAACCCACCTCACAACAGCACCACAGGGATTATGGGAACTAATCCATGGGAAGTGCGTAGATTCTGAGAACAACGCCAGGCTGAAGAGTCCGATAGTCAACCTAACAGGCATCTTGTTACAGCTACACATGTGACTGACAGTTGTTCTCTCTTCTCTCATCAGCTCCTCTCGCGGATGTACTCTAAGGCCTGGGCTCTTCAGACAACCCTACTGAATCCCACCTCTGCTGTTCCTCAGAAGGAATAATAATAGCTGTTTAGAAAAATTAAAGGAGAAATCAAATGCAAAAACATCTAGAAAAATGTCTGGCACTGAGCAAATTGCAATAAGCGTTCCAACTTTGATTTCCAGTTTGCAAATGAGGAAACCGAGTGGAGAGGCTGTGGAAAGCGAGTGGCAGAGCCAACAGGAGCCCCCTCAAGCCCAACTCCCGACACCCGCTGCGCCCATCCCTCCCGGGGCCTGGCTCATGCAGGGTGCTGGGAAGGGCCTCCTCGCAGAGGAGAAATCTGGTGGATTGACAAATCACGGTCACTTCCCCCATTTGGCCCGGGTTCAGCTCACTGTCGGCTGGTGTACTCCCAACAGGGCATGGTGCGGACAGATCGAGGGCCTTTCCAAATGGGGGCTGCCCTGGGAGACTCACTGACAGAAAAGAGTAGCCACTTGAACTTCTTGGACCAGCGGGTATCTTTGTTCTGAAGCCAGGACACAGGGCTTCCCTCATTCAGAGAAGACACTGGGAAATGTCCTCAACTCCAAGTGCACCAAAGTCCCTAATGCCACACACGTAGGGCTGAATGAATGGAACTGCATCAAGTTCATCCACGGGCTTGCTCACTCATTCATCCACACGCAAGGAAGGCTGGTGTGCAGGCTCTGGTGGGGGCGGGGGGAGGAGGGGAACACTGCCCTCACAGAGGGGAGCAGGCGTGAGGGGGCAAAAGCGAACACAGCCGCCCACCATTTCCGACGGTGACAGGTGCTAGGACAGAAATAAGCCCACACGGAGCGAAGGACAGGTGTGGTGTGGCACTGCGTGTTCAGGGCCTGTGGCCGAGAAGGATGTGAGGGAGCCCGGTCGGACACTGGTCCCTCCGAGAGGGACCAGCAGACAGGCTGGGTGGGAACAGCTTCCGGCTACTGGAGAGCAGGGGCTGGGCAGGCTGAGTGTGGGGGGACTCAGAGGCCCTGGGTGGGGACTTGCTTTCTTTTTTTTTTTTTTTTTTTAATATATTTTATTGATTTTGTACAGAGAGGAAGGGAGAGAGATAGAGAGTTAGAAACATCGATGAGAGAGAGTCATCGATCAGCTGCCTCCTGCACACCTCCCACTGGGGATATGCCTGCAACCAAGGTACATGCCCTTGACCGGAATTGAACCCGGGACCTTTCAGTCCCCAAGTCGACGCTCTTATCTATTGAGCCAAACCGGTCTCGGCATGGGACTTGCTTTCTTGTCAGGCCCCTTCCAGCTCTGGGATTGGAGGACTCCTCAGGCCCAGCCTGCCAGCCAACCACTTCCTGAAGGTCCCGTGTGGGGTGCTCTCCGCATGTTCTCACAATGACCCGAGGAGGAGAGTCTTTCTGTCCCCCTTCCACACACAGAGAAACTGAGGCTCAGAGAGCTTGAGCAACCTGCCCACAGTCACACAGAGTCAGGGAAAGAGCTGGAGACGAGCCCAGGGCTGTCTGACCAGCAGCCGTGAAGGTGTTTTCCAAGGGCCGGCACCTCCATTTACCAAGGACTTCCTCATCCGCAGCATTGGCCCTCAGAGACAGGCTGGAAGGGGGACCCGAGCTCCCAGCTGGGGGGAGGCATGTCCCAAGGCCACAGAGACGATGAGGAGGGAGCTGGGGTCCAACCTGGCTCTTTAAACAGCCCCCCTCCCCCCCCCCGTCCCCTCTCTGAAAAGGGGAAATTGGCAGGTGAGCGGGAAAGCTGAGCCATGCTCACAGACACTCAAACAGGGCCGGGGCGTGCAGGCTAATGGGTATCATCTCAGACCTCTCATTTCTAATAGGCACTGTGCTGTCACAAAGACTGTAATTTCCTGCGGCTCACACAGGATGATCAGCACGCCGGCTGCCTGGAGGGCAGGGAATGGCGGTACCTGGGCACGTTCCTGCGGATAAAGCCACCCTCTCCCTCCCAGCCATCCCAGCGCTTCCCCGACCAGACACAGCTGTGATGTCTGAGAGCCTTGGCCTGGGGTCCCAAGAGGACCCTGGCTCTCTGCACAGCGGCCCCGCTCAGACCAGCTTCAGCTTTTCATAGCCATGTTATCTTGGGCACAGCCCTTTCCCTCCCCAAACCCCAGTTTCCTAATCTGTAAAATGGGGGCAACGCATGTATGTTGGCCTCACAATTAGGTTAAGCGAGTGAGATGGCAGACACATCTTAAACACCGGCCACATAGCGGGGGCTTAGGAGGTGGTAGCTGTGGCAGTGACAGTGCTGGAGGCGATAATGATGCTTCTCGCCTTTTAAAAATAGGGGAAATGAGGCCAGAGAAGGGAATGGGCTCTCCCCAGGACACACAGCAAGTCAGCGGGGCAGCTGGACCAAGAACTTGGGGTTTCCAGGCTAGGCTTTTGCGTGGTCAGAGGTAAAGTTTGTTGCATCCGTCCTGGGCGCCGCTGTGCATGATCTCGCTTAAGCCCCACAGGGAACTGACGAGGAGGCGTTGTTATTACAGAGGTGAGCTACCTTGCCCACGGTGACATAGCTAGCAAGTAGTGGAGCCCTGGTGGTCTGGGTTTACCTCAGGCGGTCTGGCCTCCGTGAGCGGCCCTTGAAGACTGGCGGCTGAGAGTACAGGGGGGCCCCAACTTTCCCCCGTGTGCATGTCCCCCACACAGCCACACGCTCAGCTCCGACAGCCAGGCTCTGCACAGGCTGAGCTATTGCTTCCCCCGCATGACAGGGACAAGGCCAGTCGGACCCCCCAGTCCCAGGTCCCACCAGCTGTACCCCATGGGTTCTGGAAGGCAGAACCTGGGGGTCACCCACAGAGAGCATCTGGCGTGTGCCCAGGCCTTCCCAGACAGGGAAACTGAGACCCAGGTGGTTTGGGAAGTGTTCACAAATGCAGGCTGGTGACCGCAGCTTGGCTCCGGGGCTGGAGGGGGCTGAGAGTGAGAAGGTGGGTGGGAGGGCCTGAGGGAGGGGCTCTGTTCCAATACCGGGCGGTAATCAAGGCTCTCTCCCGCCGGCATATTCATGACCCCATGTGCCCCCGACAGACCTCCCCAGTGCATCCCCTTGCTGCATCCTCACAGCAGGCTGTCTTCTCTGTATTTTGCGAGTGGAGATATCAAGGCTCATAGAATCAGAGTGTCTTGCCAAGGCTCACACAATTAATAAAAAAAAGCTTGACCTTGAACTCAGTGCTCCTAATGTCTAGGCAACTCTTTCCCTTCATTTCTTCCATTGATGGTTCTCTTCTCTCTAGTTTTTTGTTTTTGTTTTTGTTTTGTTTTTTAACTATATTTTATTGATTTTTTACAGAGAGGAAAGGAGGGGGATAGAGAGCCAGAAACATCAATGAGAGAGAAACATTGACCAGCTGCCTCCTGCACAACCCCCACTGGGGATTTGCCTGCAACCAAGGCACCCTGACCGGAATCGAACCCGCGACCCCCCAGTCCACAGGCTGACAGTTCTATCCACTGAGCCAAACCGGTTACAGCTCTCTAGTTCTTGTCTCTGCAAGTTACCCAGGCACCTGCCCTCCCCATCCCAATTTTTCTACCCACCCATAAGCACCTTGGAGCAGCGGCTTTCTTGATGTGTTGACTGTTGTGTGCCTGGAGCCTGTCACAAAACTGGAAACCAGTGGATGCTTGCTGGGCTGTTGAAGGAATTGCAATTGGACTCCAGTTTTTTAAACTGGGATCCGTGGTCAGCATGGTCAAACGTGCAGATTTGTTATTGTGGGCGGACGTAATGGAATGGCTTATTATGCAAATACAAAGGTGAACAAGGGAAAGTGTTGTCTTATAAATGCATTTTTAAATTTCTTTTTCATTAACAAGACTACTCCACTTCTTGGTATGAGGAGCTCTGAGAAGGTATGTGTCAGTTCCTCAGGTCTTCTCACCGGGACCCAGCCCCTTGCTCCCGTGGTGAAACTTAGAAAACTGTGAGGGGACTGGAGCAGCTCTGAGTACACTGGAGTAGCTCAGAGTGAAGTCCAATGGCAGGAGAAGGCCCAGAGGGCTCCACGAGGACTCATCTGCAGGGGAAGGGTGGTTTGTGACCAAAGCTCAGCATCAGGGGTGAGGAGGACAGAGACACACGGGACTTCAATCAGCGTTTCAGTCAAGGATCACAAGCTATTTTAGGAAAAACGTCAGCACCACACCAGTCCCTGGCCTCCAGCCTCACTACGGAGCACAGTGTGGGTCTGACCCAGCAGAGCATCGCCACCTCGGTGGGCAGGCACCCGCCAGGATGCGCACAGTCAGTCTTCAGCAGGAACACCATGGGCACACAGTCAGTCTTCAGCAGGAACACCATGCATGTGGCAGGGCGGGAAATGAGAGTGCTAGCTGGGGCTTCTGCTCCCGCTCTGTGTTGTGGAGTTGGAGGCGGGACTGGGCTGCGTTAGACGAAGTCCTCAGGGTTCTTGGGTCAGTTCGGGAGAGTGGAGGCTCCTGCACGGATGCTGCACTTCCTGCTAATGAAGGGTTGGGATGGGTGATTAGTTGGAAAAATAAGAGATGCCCTTATATGTACCCCTATCAGGCGTCTTCAAACTACGGCCCGCGGGCCACATGCGGCCCGCAGAGGAGTCTGATCCGGCCCGCCAGGTTTTTCGGGCAGTGAGCGCAGCCGAGGTGTTACAGTAGGAATTAGTAGTTCATATAGTCCGGCCCTCCAGCTCTCTGAGGGACCGTGATCTGGCCCCCACTTTAAAAAGTTTGAGGACCCCTGCTAGATGGTGAAATACTCTTACAAGTTACAGGACCAGTCAGCGTTATCCACCGTGTCTCTAGCGACAGTCACACACAGGCCTATATTTTTAAAATTGACAACGGCAGTTGCATACACATGCGTGCCATGCTGTAGTTCACAAAGCTCTTTGCCATTCACGCTCTTCTCTGAGCCTCCTGCCAGCCCTGTGAGATAAGCATGGCAGAGGGGTGGGTGAGATAAGCATGGCAGAGGGGTGGTCCTTAGGAAACTCAGGCTCAGAGAGGGGCTGTAACTTGCGCACAGTCACCAATGAGTCATGAGGCCCGGTCCCGCCCCTGTCGTAGGGTTCCCAGGCTGCCCCGGGGAGGCCAGGCGCCAGGTCCCTACCTTGCCTGCTCACAGCAGCATCAGCACCACGATGGCCATGACCATGAGGACTCCAGCCAGGATGCACAGGCCCAGGAAGACCATGTCGCTGGTGTCCTGGGCCACCAGGGCTGCAGGGCCCGGCAGTGCCTCCGCCTCGTCCGCGGGGGGCGCTTCCTGCAGGTGCTCGGCCGTGGCGGCGTAGGGCCCCAGCCAGTCGGAGCCGGACAGCAGGCGGACAGAGGCCTCCTTGCGCCGGGGCTCACAGAGGACCTCGTACTGGTGCACGTCCTCCCGCCCGCCGGCCGAGAAGTCGATGTACAGCGTGCTGACGATCACCGAAGTGTTGTTCCTCCTCTGTGGGGTCACAAGGGGTCACTCACACTGAAGGGGCCCAGAACTGACCCCGTGCCCCTACACATGTGGGGACTCGGTACCAAGGGGGCAGAACCCAGGAGCCCAGGCCCTAGTCCCAGCTTGGTCACCGACTCGCTTCCCGCATGAGCCTCCGTGTCCCCTCCTGTAGAAGTTCTCTGTGAGGTGTCTGGAAGGACAGTGTCAGATGGCAGGGCCCGGTATGTGCTCTGGCTTCACAGATAGTGACATAACCACGGGGACACCTGCCATGCTCCAGGCTTTGTAACCTAAGGACATTCTCTCATTGAATTCTCACAATCCTCTCTTGCTGGTATCATTTCTTTTCTTCCTTTTTATTATTTTTTTATATATATATTTTAAACTAAATTACATACATGTTATTTTCAAAACTTGAATGTCAAGAGCAAAACTCTGGCTATTAAATAATAACAACAGTGCCAATGCAAAACAACAAAATGAGGAATCAGAATTATGGACATATTAATATTTTTAGCTACTAAATGAGTCTCTTTTGTTGCTGGTGTAGATTTACTCAGAGTCCTTGGACTTGCTGCACAAGACTTTGCAGAAGACTGGAAGCTAACAGATGCTAGCATGAGCAGGAACATGATTAAAGAAGTAGCTTCCACTTCAGTCTTTAATTTCTTCAGATGACTCCATGTTGGCACCTCAGTCCCTTGCGTAGCTCTCAGTTTTCTTCTCCCCCTTTGCTGTCGTCTGGGCAACTCTCAGTCCCTTTGGGTGAAGGGACACAGGAGCTTCTCTGAGTCCATTGTGATGACGGACCTAACACTCTGGCACCCAAATTGGCTGCATTGCTCCTTCTTTCCTTTCATTTTGAACCCAGGGTTCAACCCTACAACACTCCGGGCCCGGCTGCTCTGGGCCTGGATGCTGCTCCGGGCCTGGCTGCTGCTGCTCTGGGCCTGGCTGCTGCTGCTCTGGGCCTGGCTGCTCTGGGCCTGGCTGCTGCTGCTCCGGGCCTGGCTGCTCTGGGCCTGTCTTGCTGGTATCATTAATGTCCCCACTTTACAGATGAGGACACCGAGGCCCTGAGATCAAACCCCTTGTCTGTAGCCGCACAGCACACAAGTGACAGGGAACACATTCTCACCCAGATCTGCCCGATCCTTCATCAGAACATGGGACCACACAGTTTACTCTCCCTCCCTCGGCCATTTACAGATGTGAGGACCGGGGCCTGGCAAAGGCAGCAGTGCCAGGACCTCGGTCTGGAGGCCAAGGCGCCTGCCTCCCAGGGGGAAGCTCTGTTCCTGCTATTACGTGACCTTCCTCCTGGAATCTCTCTCCCACGTGTGTCTGCAGCAATTATGTCCCTGCTGTGGAGTCCCTGGCGACCAAAGTGGCACCACCTTGAGGCTGGGAGGAGCCATTGAGGAGTGAGGTGTGAGGTCTGGCACGCTGCTGTCCTCCCAACCCCCACGGGTGGGGAAGACAGGAGTCTAGCTGCCCTGAGATGGTGAAGTGTTCAGGCGGGGACTGGGAGGCAGTGTTTATTTATTTATTTTTAAACATGTTTTTATTGATTTCAGAGAAGAAGAGAGAGGGAGAGAGAGAAGGAGAAACAACTATGATGAGAGGGGATTATTGATCGGCAGCCTCCCGCACGCCCCCCTCTGCGCGCACCCCCTCCCCCACCAGGAATGGAAACTCAACCTCCTGGTTCATAGGTCGATGCTCAGCCACTGAGCGGGGCCAGGGGCAGTATTTATTTATTTATTTATTTATTTATTTATTTATTAAATATATTTTTATTGATTTTTCACAGAGAGGAAGGGAGAGAGATAAAGAGCTAGAGACGTCGATGAGAGAGAAACATCGACCAGCTGCCTCTTGCACACCCCCTACCGGGGATGTGCCCACAACCAATGTACATGCCCTTGACCGGAATCGAACCTGGGACCTTTCAGTCCGCAGACGGACACTCTACCACTGAGCCAAACTGACCTCAGCCAGGGGCAGTATTTAGATGGGCAGACTATGTGGTCTGCAGTGGAGCAGGGGTGGGTGGGGCTGCTCACTCCCACCCTCCCGAAATCTGCAGCAGCCGAACCCTCTTCAGGTTGCCCAACTGCCCCTGCCCAGGGGCGGCATCTCTGAGACGAGGCTTCTAAACACCAAAGCTGCTCAAGCGGAGCGAGCAGTGTGAGAGTCCCATCTCCGGACGCTTCGGAGGAGGGAGTGTTGTTGACCAGGTGACCTTGAGGGTCCCTCCCAACAGTGGTTTCCCAGAGGCCCCGGGTCCAGGTCCCTGAGGAGCCCTGGCACTTGTGCCCTCGGCCTGGCAGCCACCACGCCCTCTGAGGAGGATGCTGTCCTGGGTTTTCATAACAATCGGGGTGCGGAGCAAGAAAAAAGACCTGAGAGGGGAGGGACCAGTCAAAGGGTCGAAGTGAATCTGCATCAGGGAGGTGGGAAAAAATCACACAGTGATGAGTGAGAGGCTGAGGAGGAGAGACCACGGGAGACGTTGCAGTGATGAAATCAAGTCCGAGGTGCTGTCTGCGATGCCCAGAAAGGCTGCCGTGGCTCCGGGCCTGAGAGCCACACACCTGAGAGCCGCTCAGGGTGGAGCCTGCTTCTCTCCATCTAGGCCCTCAAAGTGTGACACTAAGCATCGGCGAGACTCAGCTTCTCTCCTTCTGTCTCCGTGATATCCACTCCGAGGTTCTGTGACTCCAAGGCTCTGTGATTCCCAAGTGCCAAGTTCTGGTGCCAGTTCCATGACTCAGAGTCTCTGTGAGCTCCTCCCCCTAGACTACAGGATTTCTTGTTTTATGATTCCTTGTCTTCATCATCTCATGGTTCTGTGGGACATGTTCTGCCCCAAAGAAAGCCCTGGGGGACTTAGGTCACAGACTGGGGTATGGGCAGATTATCTTAGCCGCCAACACTACCGCCCCTCCAGCCCCCTCCTTCTCTCAGATCAAAGCTGTGGCTGCTGGGAGGTGGGGGGAGCAGGGGTGGGCCGGAGGGGCCGGAGGCTTATATTCGGCTAATGTTGGGGGTGGGAGCATGGTTTGCTGGAAAGCATGTGATTTCTGGCAAGTCCCCAGATGCCAAGGCTGGGGGCCGCCCTGAGAGAGGCCACTGTTCCCTCTCCCCCTCTCCCCACCTGACCTGTCCCTGAGAATGCAGACACCCAGGGTGCCCGGGGCACTGCTCCTCGACTCAGAGGCCCAAGCCTGGGTGTAAGGTTTCCAAAGTACAAGGCTGGTAGAAAAAACTCATTTGCAAGCCTCACTGCCTCTGGAGGGAGGTGGGTCCTGGAACTTGAAGGGCCCTTTTGTTTTGTGGAGCCCGGGGAGGACTGGCTCATGGGGCTGGGGGAAGGGCGGCAGGGGGCGGCAGGGCTCCCATAGCTCTGCCTGAGGAGGGGCGAGGACCAGGTGGCCTGTGGGAGGGACCTCCAATGGGGGCTTTTGGTTGGTGCGGGCTGTGCAGTGAGCCCCCCTTCTCTGTCGCCCTTATTTGAGCTCTTTGTTGTGTCTCCACAGAGCATGTTTGCTGCAGTAAAGCCCAAGGGGCTGATTTGGTCCCCAGACTTGTTCAGTCACTTTAGCCGGAGGAGAAGCTGCATCCTCAGGAATGGCTGTCAGAGCACCTGGGCCCGCCCACCCGCCCCTCTCCAGCCCCTACCTGAGACTCGGTGCCGCAGGTGTCGAAGCGGGCCTGGATCCGGAAGGTGCCGTCCACCTCCTGGGCCGCACAGCGCCGGCTGCCCAGGTAGACCTGGGTCCGCCCCAGCGGGGCCAGCGCCTGCGTGGAGATCAGGATCTGGAAGTCCATGCGGGAGCAGCTCACGTTCATGGGCACAACTGGGGACAGGAGGAAGGAGCTGGAGGCAGTAGGGGCAGGCAGCCTGACTCCCCTCCGCCCCCTAGCTCCCACCCCCGGGGGGTGAACAGGAGAACGGTGAGGGAGAGCCCTCAGGGGGGAGTTCTATGCAGTCCTATGGGGAAGGTCTTACAGGCGTCTTCAAACTACGGCCTGCAGGCCACATGTGGCCCTCAGAGGAGTCTGATCCGGCCCGCCAGGTTTTTTGGGCAGTGAGCGCAGCCGAGGTGTTACAGTAGGAATTAGTAGTTCATATAGTCCGGCCCTCCAGCTCTCTGAGGGACCGTGATCTGGCCCCCACCTTAAAAAGTTTGAGGACCCCTGGTAGATGCATCATCACTCCGTGTAACTCCATCAGACAAGCTGCCCACCCATCAGACAGATGCAGGCCTGCATCTCGGTGTCCACTGAGCCTCACCCAGAGCTTGGCAAGCGCAGTGAATGCTGAATGAGTGAGTGAGTGAGTGAGTGAGTGAGTGCGTGCGTGAACAAATGCATATTCTTCATCATAATAAAAGCTACTGCTTGCTGATCACTTTGCCATGTGTCCGGCAATTCATTTATTGGTTAACAAATATTGATTGAGGACCTACTATGTGCAGGCACTAATCTAAGCACAATAGATACAGAAATGGAGGAGAATGCCCAGCTGAATATCCCTCCCCACTAGGAGCGTACACCGTGGCCCTGCCAGGGGACAATAAATATGTAAAATACACTAAGTGTCTGCGTGGTCAGCGGGCAAGCCAGGCCAAGAATAATGACGGAGCGGAGTGTGGGGCTGGGAACGGTGGTGAAGAAGCCTCACTCTCAGCATGAGGACGACCCCCGGAGGTGACTGTGACGAACCCCCCTCCCCACAGCTCTGAGAGGCGAGGCTCTGAGAGGCGAAGTGTTTGCTGTGGTTCAGTTGGGAGCTTAACCATCCAGCCTGCAGGATTCAGAGGCCCTGAGTCTTCACCCTCCCCGGGACCCCCTGCCCCCTCCCAGCCACGACGGTGCGGCTCAAGGGCTGGGTCTGTGCAAGCACGTGCATGCGTGCGTGAATGTGTGTGCGTGTGTGAGTGTGTGTGTGTGTGTGTGTGTGTGCGCGCGCGTGTAGGGGGAGGGAAGGGGGTGACTGGTGGGCGGAAGGGAAGGAGCTGGCAGGAGAGGCCTGGAACTCTCTGCGCCTCTTCCGGAAATGCCTCAGACATATTTCAGCCTCTGGTGTCTGGGCCGTCGGGGATTTATGGGCCGCCGTCTCCCGCGATGATCGCGGTGGCGCTGAACTGTGTGTCACCTCTGATTGATGCTGGGCCGTCCTCTATCCCGGAGGCCGCCGGCAGCCTGGGCCACATCTGGCGCCTTGCCCAGCACGAGTGCCCCCGTCTGACCCCGGGCTCCCACCAGACCCGGGAGGGAGTGGGGGTGAGGTGGGGTGAGAGGGGGGCTCCTGCCCCTGAACAGGAGCCAGGATTACTGCTGCCCGCCCCCCCCCCCCCACACACACACACACAGTCTCCAGAGGCACCCGAAGGAGAAGGGACTTCTCTGAGATCTCACAGAGCTAGGAGTGGACCCAGGCCAGAGCCCAAAGGGACTGCAAAGGTCCTCCAGCCAATGTCCTCATGTTACAGGTGGGGAAACTGAGACCCTCACCCCCAGGGCCCCCCTGAGAGAGAGTGACTTGCCAGCAGGCGGTGGCAAAGCCCGTGGCTCCTGGCTCTCCAGAGTACAGTCTGAGAAGGGATCCCTCTAACCGGGGACAGTTCCCTTCTCCCAGCTCAGGGTGGAGCTGACCGAGGCCCAGAGAGGGTGGGTCTGCCCAGCTCACTTCTCCGCTACTGTCGGCTGCAGCTCTGCTGTTTCCACCCACCAACCCCCCTGGCACCTGAGGTGAGGAGAGAGGAGAGCTCTTTCCCATGAAGAGCAGGCCTGAGGCACAGGAGAAAGAAATCCACCTTCGGCACGGCTGCCCTCCCAGCCAGGCTCTGTGACCTGTGTCACCGCATTTCATCCTAACGGCTGACGTCCGGGCATCCATCAGCCCCTTTTACAGAGGAGCCCCGAGGCAGGCGGGTGGTCAGTGAGGGGCAGCATTTGGATGCTGACCCTGGTCTGTCTGAGCCCAGCTGTGGGCCCCTCCCCGGGGCCCGGCCCAGCCACGCAGGGAGGCAGGGGAGTGATTTCTGGTCTCGGCTGTGCCGCTCTCGGCCCACGCGGCCGCACTGAGGTCCTGTCCTCTCTCTGCACCTTCGTGTCCACACCCGCACAGCCAAGAGCTCCCGCCGGTCAGGCGGAGGGCAGAGTGGGTCCGGGACCCATGGCCCAGGGGAGCCCGCTGAGAAGAGGGGCGTGGTGGTGAACGCTGTCAGCTGGCAAATCTCACGGGCACTTTGGAGGCTGGGAACGCTGAGTGGTTCCCAGCCTCCTCTGCCGCCAGGCATGGCCACCTGACCAAGGTCAAACCAGTGAGACCAAGAAGAGATCCTTTGGCGGCTTCTGAGAATGGTTTTGCTTTCCTGATAAAAGGACATTGGTGGCCGGCACCTCGCCTACCCCCTTCCAGCCTTGAACAGGGATGTGAGGCCCAGAGCTGTGGCAGCCATTTTGCAGAACCGAGGCCAAGAGGCTCCAGAGGAGCTGGGACAGGGGGAGTCCCTGAACCAGCACAGAAGCTGCCTGACTCCAGACTTGTTCTGGGATGAAAACAAAAGCCATCTGTTCAAGCCACGGTCACTCAGGACTTCGGACACAAGCAAGGCTGGTCGGCTTCTATGTGGTTACACCAGTTGTTTACCATAAATAATATTACCATATTTCATATTACCTCTGGCTAGAGCAGTGGTCGGCAAACTGCGGCTCGCGAGCCACATGTGGCTCTTTGGCCCCTTGAGCTTTTAGCAAAGGCCAGCTTAGGAGTACCCCCAATTAAGTTAATGACAATGCACCTACCTAGACAGTTTAAAGTTTAAAAAATTTGGCTCTCAAAAGGAATTTCAATCGTTGTGATATTTGGCTCCGTTGACCAAACACTTTGCCGACCCACTGGGCTAGAGGATCAAGATCAAGAGAGGCCAGATGGAGAGGGAAGAGCCGGGTGAGAAGGGAGGAGAGACTGCAGGGCTGGGAGCTGGAAGGGCAGGTCCCTGCAATAGTGGCAATCAGCCCGGGCCACACTGGTGCAGGCTCAGAGGTCCCAGAGGAGGCGCTGGCGGTGGGGGGCCCGGGAAGAGGATGGGGAAGCCAGTTTGTGGGATGGAGGAAGGAGGCTGCGAAGACCTGGAACCCCCAGTCTCGCCTTCTCCTCCCGCCCCCCCCCCGCCCCCTGCACCCCGCTGACCTCCAATGTAGGCCACGGAGAAGCCCCTGCGGGAGGCGCTGCGGTCGGCGTGGAGCAGGAGCAGGAGCTGGTTGCGGCTGGAGGTGACGGGCGGGGGCAGGTGGCGGCCGCACCAGCGCCCCAGCAGGGGCGCCTCCTCGCTGGCCCCGTCGAAGGCCGCCAGGTGGTCGAAGTCGCAGGTCTTGGTGAGGCTGTTGGGCCCCTCCAATTCCAGGTCCAGGAAGAACAGCTTGACCCGGTAGCCGGGAGGCAGGCGGATGGTCCAGTGGCAGCGCACGTTGTTGGGGTAGGCGCTGGGGTAGTGGGGGCTGGAGAAGTTGCCCCGCACGGCTGTGTACACCTCCTGGCATTCCCCTGGGAGGAGCGGGCAGAAGGAGCCATGGTGAGAAGGATGGAGACTGTCACTTACGGCAGCAGCCGCCGTTGGAGCAACAGTCACTATCGTGGTCCCAGCAGCACCGTGGCGGATTGTGGGCTCCAGGGCAAACCAGGCAATCCATCCCAAAGCCGGTGCTAGCCCGAGGCCAGCTGAAAGCCGGACTCTCACTCCTATTGAAGCTCCCCTTCAGGAGTGCTGGCTCTGATAGGAATTCAAACACAGGCCCTATGACCGTCCTCAGAGTGGAGTCCGGACTTGGACGTGACCCTGTGGTTCACGATCGGACCTGGCCCCTTTCCTCACTGCCCCTCACCCACCCCACCTTCCGGCCTCACACACAGCTAGTACTGCACGCACAGCGAGCCCTCCCTGTCCTCCATGCCTGTGCACAGGCAGATCCCTCAGCTTGGAGCCCCCTTCCCTTCCTTCTGCCTCTGGCTGACTCCTTCAGAGCACTGTCTAATTCTCTCCCCCCGTCTGCCCAATTCTCCCCGCTTCCAGGCTGCCCTCCGTGATTCTTCCTGTTACATAGCAGAGGTCACAGTGAGCTGTCTGTCACGGTCTGTTTCCTTTTCCATCTCCTCCTGTGGAGGGCGCACACCCAAGGGTTCATTCGCTCACTCGTACCAACAGTTCATTGAATGCCTGCCACGTGGCAGGTGCAAAGACAAGCCCAGAGGGGCTCCCGGTCAGGCAGGGGAGATCAGCAGGCAAACCACACCCAGCAGCAGTGTGTGAGAGCAGTGCTAACCCTTGGGTTGATTCTGGGGGGACCAGGAAGGCTTCACCGAGGAGGTGGCGTGTTCACGCCTCGGCGTTGGCTGGGCAGGAAAGGCCGTGCGAGAGCCTTCCAGGCGGCGAGAGGGCAGAAAGCACGGAGCCCGGACAGGGTCCGGTGCCCCCTCTGCCCGCACGCATGCGGGGACGCGGGCCCCGGCGCGCACAGGGGTCCGGGCCGCCCAGGCCCTCCTACCTGAGAAGAAGTAGGCCTTGAAGCCCCGGCCTCCGATGTTGAAGTCGGACTTGAAGACCACCTGCAGCTCGAAGCCCCGGGACACCAGGGCGGGGGGCCGGGCGCCTCCGCAGAAGCGGTGCCCGCGGGCGGGCCCCGGCGCCCCCAGCACCGCCACGTAGTCGTAGGCGCACTCGGCGCTGCCCTCCACCTGGAAGTCTGCGAACACCAGCTTGACGGTGGCGGGGCCGGCGGCCCGGATCACCCAGCGGCACTCCGCGTCGTTGGGGTAGTGGTCGGGGTACCCGGGGCTGGTGAGGACCCCCGACAGGCCCGTCAGGACGCCGCCGCACGCATCTGTGAGCGAGCCCGTGGTGAACCAAGCTTCCTCCTTCCCCGCGGATCCCCTCCCAAGGGAACCCCGCGCCCCAACGTGCCACCCCCTCAGGCCTGGGCACCTCGTCACCACCCACGGGGCACTCGCCAAGTGGCAGGCACAGGCCAGGCCTTGGCGCCCACACCGCCTTTGTAAACGTCACCATAAATAACCCTATGCTGTGGGGGGTGCGGGGTTAGGGTTAGCGTCCCATCTTACAGTCAAGAAGATGGAAGATCAACCAGAGGACTTGTACGCATGCACAGAAGCCCAACCGATGGACACAGACAACAGGGGATGAGGGCATGAGTGAAGGGGGTGGGGGGTGGGGGGGTTAATGGGGGAATAAGGACACATATGTAACACCTTAATCAATAAAGAAATTTAAAAAAGAAGAAGAAGATGGAACCCCAGGAAGTTAAGTAACTTACCATGTGAGTTTGGGTTCACCTGGGCTCTGAGACAGGATTTGAGCTCAGTGAGTTTGTGTGGGAGACACGGGTGCCCGGGTGGGGGTGAGGGCGTGAGGGACACCAAAGGGAAGGGAAGGGGAGGGGAGGGGAGGCGGCCACTGACAGGCGTTGCCAAGCCAGCGGCGGAGCCCTGTGGGGAACCCCGCAAAGCATTCACCTCAGAGTGATGTCGCCTAAGACTAGGGAAGTGGGGCGCTCATACACCCACTCCCGGGGATCCAGGCCGGGGTGCTGGGGTACAGGTGACCAGCGGGGCTTCAGAGAAAGCCCTCAAGCAAAGAGACGAGGAGGTTGGCAGGGGTCATTAAAGTGACAAGGCCCGAGGGACGTGGGCGGGGCCCTGACAGCAGATCTGGTAACGTGGACAACGGGGTCTGACTGATGGCAGAGCCTGTGCACATGACCTTGTGATGTTCACTGTCCCCTCCTGCCAGGCCAGGGGGGTGCAGAGGCTGAGGTGCCTGAGTTCAGAAATGCTATTAAGCCTCCCTAACAGGTGAGGAAACGGAGGCTCAGACAGAGGATCTGACGAAGTAGAGAGAGGCTTGAAGTCTGGAGACAGGTGTCCTCCCAATGCTGGCTCCTATTAGCTGTGTGACCCTGGGCAGGTCACTCGGCCTCTCTGAGCCTCATGGGAACATTAGCAATCGTAAGACCTGCCCAGCCTGATCCACTGGGCTCGGATTCATGCAGAGCCTGAAAAGGTGTATTGTGACCAGTATAACCAGGAGGTGGTTGATGATGAATGCTGGGACTAGCTGGGGCCACCAGCAGGGAGTGCACACTCGGGTGTATTTCCTGGGACTGTGCTGGGCCGCTAAGGACTTCCCTTCTGAGCTGTGTGACCTTGGAGGTCTCTCTCTGGACTCAGATGTGTTGTTTGTGAAATGAGAGGGCAGGTCTGACAATCTCTGATCCCTTCCAAGGGAAACACCTTAGGAGACTTGGCACTTGTGCTCGGGGCTCCCCAGTGGCCGCCGGGAGCATCGCTCTCCAGGCATCTGGTGCGAATCTCATCCTCACGCTGTATTCAAACCATGTTTTAATGCTGTGGAAGGCAGAGTCCACAGTAACGTCTCACATGTAAAAATTTAACTCACTGGAGGCCACACATATTGACTTTCGTCTTCAGTGATGGGCTTATAATAAGGAAATGTTAAAAATAGGAGCTTACAAAATAAATGCACACACTAAAATGCCGCCTTTATCTCTGTCAGGGATTAACAGAAGATTCCATCTGATAAAAGGGGACCACTGCTTTAAAGAAGGCTGGAACACACTGCCCTTGGTATTATGACTTGGATATCTAAACATCCTAAAAATCTAAGGGTCTAAGGTTCCAAAACTGCTATTAAATCAGCCTGTGATTTCTTGTGTTTTAGCACCTACAGTTCTCTGCCTCTGAAGCCAGAGAGAGCTGGGCCCACCTGCCCCCGCTGCCGTTGGCGGACTGTGTGCGGGAGCCTCGGTGGCCTAGCGCTCCAGCTCCCAGGAAGAAGGCTTTGGCTTTGGCCTTGGGAGGAGGCAGGGGGTGTTTGTGAGAGGAGCCTCAGGCAGGCGGCTGAGTCAGGGAGAGCAGCCAGGAGAGCCAGGCCTCTGCCTCCCTCGGGGACTGCAGGCAGCAGTGGAAGGAGGGAGGGGTCGGGACCCAGATGCTAGTAGGAGACGCGAGTTCGGAAAGGCTTTGGGAGGGAGAGCACACCAGGTCCACACAGACCCTGTGCCCCTCCGTCGGAGGACTTGGGAGGTGGGTGGGTCACGTGAATGTGAATCAGAGGGGCCCACAGCAGTGACAGCATGGCGCCCTCCTGTGCCTGAATGCCAGGGCAGGGATAAGAAGGATAAGAATGGTGGGAACTGGTTTGGCTCAGTGGATAGAGTGTCAGGCCTGCAGACTCAAGGGTCCCAGGTTAGATTCTGGCCAAGGGCATGTATCTTGGTTGCGGGGACATCCCCAGTAGGGGGTGTGCAAGAGGCAGCTGTTCAATGATTCTCTCTGCAAGAGGCAGCTGATCAATGATTCTCTCTCATCAATGTTTCTAACTCTCTATTCCTTTCTCTTCCTTTCTGTAAAAAATTAATAAAATATGCTTAAGAAAAAAAAGAAAAGAGGTTATTTATATATATATAAATAACTTATATATATATATATATATATATATATATATATATATATATCTTATCCATATATATATATGGATAAGAACGGGATGAGCTCGTGAGGCTGCGTCCTGAGCACAGAGAGACCCAGGGGCTCCCAGGAACAGGAAGATGGGAACCCACAACTACAGAGACTGCAAACGGAGGCTGCCTTTGCCCCATGAGCCACGAGAGCAGGGTCATCAGGATTCCGGAGCAGCCTCCCCGCCAAGATGCCAGCCCCTGCAAGCCTTCCCCCGCCTCCACCGCAGGCCCGCCCTCCGCACCGCCAAGGCCCCCTTGCCTTTCTGGTAGCCTGCGGAAAAGCCACGGCTGGCCACGTGCTTGTCCGAGTGGAAGATGACCGACAGGATATGCCAGGAGGAGGTGAAGGGTGGCGGGGGCACCTGGCCGCAGAACCGCCCCAGCAGGTTGCCCTGGTCCCCCGCGGCCCCGTTGTAGATCTCCAGGAAGTCGAAGCCGCAGGTGTCGTGGTACTCCAGGTCAAAGGCGTGGAAGGTGAGGAGTACGGAGGAGCCCTCGGCCACCACGATCAGCCAGCTGCACTCCGTGTTGTAGGGGTAGAGTCCGGGGAAGTTGGGGCTGGAGAAGTTTCCAGAAGGTGCTGAGAGCACTCCCCCACATTTGACACCTGGGGTAAGAGGGAAGAATGGCTCAGAGTCAGCACTGGGGTCTCGGTGGTGGGCCCAGCGGCAAAGTCGGGTTATCGGGGTGGGATGAAGGAGCACGGGGGCATGGTCCTAAGTTAATTCATTCATTCATTCATGTAGTTGTGCATTTGTTTATTTATTCAAGTATGTATAAAGCATATTTATTCATTCAACAAATGTTATTTGAGTGCTAGGCATTGTTCTAGTTGCTGGGGTTATAGCAAGAACAAAACAGATGAAATTCCTGCCTTCATGGAGTTTATATTTGGTGGGGAAGACAGACAACAAACATAATAAGCAAAATACAGAGTACATTAAATAGTTATACCAGTAAGTGCTACGGAGAAAAGGCAGGGAAAGGAGACGGTGTCAGGGTGAGCCAATAACTTTAGATAAAATAAGGCCATGTGTTAAGCCCTGGACAAGTGCAGGAGGGAATTTAAAAATTTAAAGAAATAATAATCCCTCACCCTCACCCTATTTGAAAATGTGCACAACCTATTATAATGCTATAAAGTATATTCTTTTTTTAAATCCTCACCCGAGGAGTGAGGAAATTTTTTCCATTGAGTTTTAGAGCGAATGGAATGGGGGGGGGGGGGGGGGAGAGAGAGAGAGAGAGAGAGAGAGAGGAGAGAGAGAAACATTGATGTGACAGAGACACATCGATTGGTTATCTCACACACAGGCCCTGACCTGGGGTGGGGATTAGACCTGCAACCCAAATACATGCCTTTGACCAGGAATTGACCCCAAGACAATCTGGTGCACAGGCCCACGCTCTAACCGCTGAGCACACTGGTCTGAGCAAAAGCATTTTCTTTTATGTACATATTTGCTTATAGTTTTAAAAAGAAAACAATGGAAGGAAATGAGTTATTCTCTGTCAGGGGAAAGAGGAAACAGGCATGACTGCTGGAACTCTTTACCTGCAAGTTGTTCTATCATTTTGACTATATAATTATGAATAATATTCATATAATTTTTAAATTATAAAAAAATATTTAAGTAACCCTTAACTATCCCAAACCAAAAAATTTAACTATATATCTAGTTGAAGGCACAGTCACATGGAGAAAAATGACTGCCGCATGACTTTGAAAGACTATTTCGACTGTACATTCCTGGTGGAATAGATCCAAGAACAAAACCACAAAGAAATCATAAAGTCTATTCAGCAGACTAACTATTTGGAATAATAGTAAATACTGACACTGCATTTTATATATTGAAATAGAGCAAGTATGCTGATGTCGACAGCAATGAAGGCTTCGGTGTGATAGTGACAAATATAAAAATTAAGTAAAACCCTGTGGTCCTTCATTTGAATTGAAAACATAGTATGAATTTAAGATTTTTTTAAACTTCTTTTTAGAATTTTTTTTATTTCTAAAAAATCATTTTTGGGTTCTGTTCACTAAAAAGGCCTAAAAGAAACAATGTGACAGCCATATTTTGCACCCTCTGCCATAGATTACGGTTATTATGTCCAGAGAATGAAGCGGGGCTCCTTAGAGAACCATGGCTCCAGGACAGGAAATACACACAATACACTCGGGACATCTTGTCACACCAGAAAGCAGAGAAGCTTCTGGAGTCTGCCGGGATTGTGTCTAAAGATGCCTACCTGCAGGGCTCCACTGGCTGCACAGGGTACAATTTGAGCATCAAAAGAGAGTAATGATTGCGGTGGATGGAAACACAGTAAATACGTAAACATTCATGCATTCATAATACAATGCTAAAGAAATCAAAAAGAAACTCACTGATTTCCTTTAGTGGTTGCTGGGGCATAAACTCATTTTTTTAAAAAATTAATATTTAGAGAAAGAATTAAGCATCTACTTTGCCTTTCCTGTTGTGGACTGTGTTTTGGGATAGCCAAACAGCCGATGAAGGTACACTGTGATTTATAGCTTGACTGCAGAAAGAAAGGCCACGCTAAGAAAACGTAATTTTGTAAACCTTAACGAAATAATTACCTCTCTCTCTCTCAATCAATAAGACTTTTTTTTTTTTTTAAAATAAAAAGTTCCTGTAAGAGAAGACACCCTCACGGAGCATGTGTCCTGTCCCAGGACTGTGCCGATTCCCAATGGGCCCTCCCTGGGGGCTCACAGTGGGAGGTGGGGAATGGGAGGGGGAAAGCCAAGCAAATGAGACCAAGTCCTGCAGCGTGATTGTGCTCTGGCCACACTGGGGCCCGGGGGCGGGGGGCCAGCCTTGCTGCGGCCAGCACTCTTAGAGGGGGGACAAGATTCACAGAGGAGGTGGTATCTGAGTTTGACTAGGAAAAACGAGAAGGTATGTTTGTTCGGAAGGTTTGGAGAGAGGGAATGGCATGAGCAAAGGCTCAGACCACCATCGCTTCTGAGCCTCAGTCGTGTGTCTGTAAAATGGGGAGAAGGGCACCTCCCTGGCTGGGTCGCTTCAGGCAGTGAGGCACAAAGCCATGCAGGGCTGCGGTATGCACACCGGCCACACCCCCTGCCCCCTGCCTGGCCGCGGGGTCAGGCCAGGGCGGGAACGCTGTCTGCTTCCTGCCTGTATGGTGGGGACAGAGGGAGTCTGTCTGGTAGCTGTCCTTGTCCTTCTCCAGCCGTCCCACAGGACAGGAAAAGCCGTGGCAGAGTTGACGCAGAACTTCTATGGCCCAGGAGGCCCTGGCACCACCAGGAGGGACCCAGCCAGGCACCCTGACCCTCAAGGTCACCCAAGGCCACCAAAGCCTGGGTCCTGGAGAATGGGGCCAGCCAGCTCCTCCCACTCCCCAGGCATGAAGTGAGACACCTGGTGTCACCCACGAGGTGACTGGAAAGTTATGTTTCCTTCCTGAGTCCCCCCCCACCCCGCCCTGCCCCACCCCTTCCACCCCTCCCCACCCCTGTGAGCCTGCAGACAATGAGGCTCCAGCGGTGGTTTGCTGAGCCCCAAACGCATGCACACCCCTTGAAATGATATCGCTGTCACTCCCCAGACCCCCACACAGCACTCGAGGGGCTAAGGGCACAGTGGCCTGGGCTGGGGTGCGGGCAGAGGGCTCAGAGAGCCCGAAGGAGGGAGCGTCTGAGGAGGATGAAGGGACCTGGGAAGGTTCCTGGAGGAGGTGGTGTTTGACCTTCGACTGATGGAGGAGCCAGATGCTCTAAGGTGGGACAGACAAAAGGGACCCTCCAGGCAGAGGAGCCTCGGGTGAGAGCCGCCAGGGTGAGGCCTCTCCGGAGGGGTGTGACCCTGGGGCAGCTGGAAATTCTGTGGAAACCGGAGCCATGCTGCAGGGAGCTGACGGCCACAAGGAACTTTGATTTCACTGGGTCGGCAGGGGGAGGACAGCAGGCTCTCGGGGGCGGAACGAAGACCCCTTCCAGCCACAACCGGTGGCAGCAGTTCTCTGAGCCATTCCCTTCGCCGTGGCGGCCGGGCGGCCTCAGACAGGCTACGTAACCTCTCTCGCCCTCGGGTTTTTTCACCTGTAACACGGGGGACTAACACCCACCTTGGAGTCTGTTGTGAAGATTAAATGCAATCACAAATGGAAAGCATCCAGCCCATAGCAGGCGCTCAGTAAGTTCTCTCTTCCCCCACCTCAGAAGCGAATGCATTCCCAACTCAGCCAACTTCCCAAAGGGTCCCCTGCTTCCTGCCCTCCCCCCAACCCCCCACAGAAACCTCCCGGGACCCCCGCTGCTGCCTGCCCACTGCTCTCCCCTGCTCCCATCCTGGCCTGTCGCCAGGAGCTCCTACCTTTCATGGCTCGGGCCCTGGGGCCTGGGCCCAGCAGAGCCACTGCCAGCAGCAGACAGGACCCCAGCTCGGCCAGCATCTCCCCACCTGGGACCCCCCACACGTCTGTGGGCCAGGAGCACAGGGTCCGGAGCAGGGGAAAGTGAGGTGAGACTGGAAGGGCCTTCAAGTTAATGGCGGGGTGAATAATTCATCGGCGCCTCGAATTAGTAACCTGATTCCCGGGTGCTTCCTTCACTCCACCCTGAGGTGACGGATCTGGTGTCGCCCGGTTTACACGTTCTGAGATCTGTCCGGCCCCGGGCGGCCGGCTGCTGGGGAAGGGAAGCTGGCGGGGCTGGAAGGGAGCTGGGTGGTGGAGAAGGGGCCTGAGTCTGGGGCTAGACAGACTCCTGTCCGTCCCAGAACAGCCCCTAACTGGCTGGGGGACCTGGAACAAACCATCTCACTCCTCTAGGCCTCGGTCTTACGCCTCTGTCCAGGGGGACCATTCAGCCCTGCCAATAGGCTGGTGGTGGAAATGAAATGTTAAGCACATGGCGGGTGGTCGCACAGGCTTTTCCTATCACCCCTTCACAGGGCAACTGAAGGGCGTCTCTAAGAAGGGGGACGACGGGACAAGTGCCCTTCGGACACGCCCAGGTGAGCTCAGAGGGAGAGGGGAGGAGGCGGGCGTGGTCAGCTGGCGAGGGCAACGTCTTCGTGGAAGAACACAGCAGGAAGGACACACGGGGATAATCATATTGTGCCGCTCCTAACGCAGTCAGGACCACAGTGTACATTCTGGCCAGGAATATGAAGTGTTCACCCCTTTATGGACCCACAGAGCTTGCCGGAACATCCCTATGAGCCAGACTCTGTGCTCAGAGCTCGGCTGCAGAAATGCCCTCCTCAGCTCGGCGTCCAACAGGAGCCCCATGGGGTTCCGTTCGGCCCGACACGCATTTCCTAAGTCCCTCTGCTCAGAGCCCGCACCAGGCACGGGGCATCCGGGGTACAGAGGGCACATTCCCGCCTCCCAGTGAGCAGCCTGGGCTCCGGTGAGACAGACAGGGCCGGGCCCTGGCTCTCCCACCCACTGCCAGGCGGTGGGAGCCGGGGAAGTCACCTGAGCTCCCCGAGGCCCGGTCCCGACTGGACAGCAGTAGCTGCAGGCTGCTGGGAGCCTTCGGTGAGCTCGTGTGTGGGGAGTCTTCGTGCTGAGGAGCAAATTGACTCTGTTCCTCAAGGAACTCACATGTCCACCTGCCGGACCGCATGCTACCCCTGGCCTGTCCTTTATCAGGAGGTCCCTGTTAGGCAGGGGGGATGCCCAGAGCCGATGCAAGCACCTGCAAGGTAGAAGGTGACAAAGATAGCTGGCTAGCTGGCGCCTTCCTAGGGCCTTCCTAGACCCCTGGCCCAAGGCAGGAATTCCACACCTCTCACGCCCTCCCCCCTCCACTGCCTAAACAGCTGTATAAAAGAAGTACCTATGCCGCTTTTTGGCTCGAACTGCCCTGCCCGACCCTCGGACCAGCGAGCTTCGTCCGGGAGGGCAAATTAAAACCTCCCCCCTTTTTAATGGCCTGGACTCCAAACCTCTCAGCTGGGACCTTACAGTCCCCAGGGAGCCCAGCGTGGGAGGCCACCTGGAAGGTGCTCAGCAAAGAGCATCGGGAACAGGCAGGCCTGAGGGATCTGCTTACCTGTGGGCTTGACTGGCAGGTGGACAGGTTCAGGATGAGAAGCCAGTTCAGGGTGCTGATGGGCAGCTTGCCGTTCGTTGTGGGCCAACGCGACTGGCCCCCATGGGCTCCTCCAGGTGCCGAGAGCCGGTTCCAGCGTGAAACAAGACGAGTTTTACCAGAGGTTGGTGAAGCCTGGGGGCTCCACAAGGGTGAGCCACACGTGTAATTTACCTGTTGGAAAGGGCTAGGCGCTTCCCCCAAACCCGAATAGCATTATTGTTAGCTGCCAGACAGCTCAGGGCATTTTATTGCCTCCGATTGGCCCAGCACCTGAACAGCTGTAGGCTATTCCCCAATCTGACCATACCCTTTGATACCGTACCCTTTTTAAAGTGTATATTTCCACCTTGCCTCGGACAAATTGTGTTATAATAAAAGCACAGGTCCTTGGTCAAGGTAAGAGTCTTCAGCTCCCTTTAGCTGAAGCCCCTCTGACCCCCAATGCCTTTCAAAAATACCTTTTGTCCTTGGACTCCTTCTTAATCATCTACCAGGGGTCCTCAAACTTTTTAAAGTGGGGGCCAGATCACGGTCCCTCAGAGAGCTGGAGGGCCGGACTATATGAACTACTAATTCCTACTGTAACACCTCGGCTGCGCTCACTGCCCAAAAAACCTGGCGGGCCGGATCAGACTCCTCTGCGGGCCGCATGTGGCCCGCGGGCCGTAGTTTGAAGACGCCTGCTACGCGCAGCCCCCTTCTCCAGAACGCTGAGCCCTTTGTAAGGCTGGGAAAAGAACTCGGCTTCCAGAGACAGTGTAGCTACGCCCCACGTTGTTCCATTGAGGGGCGGCGAAGTGGAGTGTTTGGCCCCCAGCGGCCACTGTCCCTGGGTGAGGCTGCTGCGGGCATCACCCTGGCGTTTCCAGCTGCCTGGGAATGGTGTTGGGTCCAGCGGTGGCAGGCACAGCTGCCTGCCTGCCTGGGGATGGGAATGTCACAGGATGCGGGCAGGGCCGTGACAGCACCCACAGAGCCATCCATTGCTGTCTCTGACGTCGCTCACCTCTGAGATGTTCATTCCACCCCCAGAACACCACTCTCTTCCGCCCTCGTGCACTGGTCTTCCCTCCCGGCTGCCGGCTGCCGGCTGCCTGGCGCCTCCCTCTCCCACGAAGGTGGTGGCAAGGGGGGAGGCAGAAGACAGGAGCAGGGAGGCTGCCATCCTGGGGGTTCTGGTTGGGCCCCAAGGAGCCACATCTCTCCATTAACCAAAGCCCAGGGGACTTGGGGAGCTTCCTGGAGGCAGAGCCAGAAGGAGGGAGCGCCCTCGTCCCCTTTAGCACAACTTTGCAAGGAAAGAATTACCAGCTCCGTTTCCCTGTTTGGTAATCAGGGCTCACAGAATTGCTTTTACTGGCTCGTTTACCACCAGGTATTTATTGAGCACATACTAAGTGCCAGGCCAATGCTCAGCTACTTGTGCACATTGTCCCACCTAACCCTCACAGCTCTGTGAGGGGTGCTAGTGTCCCCCAACATTTCCAAATACCCCCTGGGGACAGCACTACCCTGGCTGAGACTCCTGGCTGGTTACTGCCTGTCTCCCCACCAGCAGGTGATCAGCCAACGAGCAAACATCTGTATTTTATCATTGCGGTATTTCAGCCCTGGCCGGCCTAGGTGCTCAGTAAATATCTGCTGAGAGGTGGAATACTAGTGAAAGTATCCCTAACCCTAGCTGGTTTGGCTCAGTGGATAGAGCGTCGACCTGTGGGCTGAAGGGTTCCGGGTTTGATTCTGGGCAAGGGCACATGCCTGGGTGGTTGGCTGGATCCCCATTGGGGGCATGCAGGAGGCAGCCAATCAACGATTCTCCCTCATCATTGATGTTTCTCTCTCTCCCTTCCTCTCTGAAATCGATGAAAATTTTTTTAAAATAAAATAGAAAAGTATTCCTCGTTTACAAGCGAGGAAACTGAAGTTCAGAGAGATGAACGATTCGCCCACAGCTGCTTAGCGGCAGAGCTGAAACTTGTTTACATCTGACCTCTCGAAAGCCTGTTCTTACCATGGCACTGGCTCTTCCCACATGGAGGCCCTCAGCTCGGGGGTGAGGGTTGCAGATGCCTGGAATGGCAGACCTGGGGCCGAGACCCCTGCAGCCTCATTCACTGAGAGCCCCGGTCCCTCCCGCCTCTGACGTGCCCCTCAGGCCCCTGGCAGTTCTGGCCAGGAAAGCGGCACCTCCTACCCCATCCGGAGGTGGGCAGCTGAGCTTCAAAAAGTCCAGACACAGCCGAAACCGGTTTGGCTCAGCGGTAGAGCGTCGGTCTGCGGACTGAAAGGTCCCGGGTTCGATTCCGGTCAAGGGCATGTACGTTGGCTGCGGGCACATCCCTGGTGGGGGATGTGCAGGAGGCGGCTGGTTGATGTTTCTCTCTCATCGACGTTTCTGGCTCTCTATCTCTCTCCCTTCCTCTCTGTAAAAAATCAATTAAAAAATATATTTATAAAAAAAAAAAAAGTCCAGACACAGAAACCGCCATGCTCAGCCTCCGGGGCCTCCTGGCTGCACTGTGGAGGAGGGGCCTGGGGGACCAGGGCCTGGGACCAGCACAGGGAGAGGGGATTTCAGAGAGCCAATCCGACCCCCTTCTCACTACCGATTCTCAGGGACCCGGAGATGGCGGGACAGACACAGAGCCCATCTCCCGCGTGTCCGCGAGGGGCAGGCAGAGTGCGGCTCTCCCTCGTTTGTTATAACAGCATCCGCGCGCCTCTGCAGTCAGGTCTGTGAGAGCCAGCGGGAGCCTGCCCAGAGGGGTTCTGAAACATCGCTGAGCACCGAGGGAGGGGGTGATCCAGTCCTCAGAGTAAGCTGGGGAGGTAGGAGCGATTACGATATTGAGGAAACAGGTTCACAAAGGAGGGTCCACAGCAGCACCAAACGCTGCCAAAAAGTGATCTCGGGGCGCCAGATGGCCGTGGGTGGGGGAGTGAAGGGGCTGAGAACGTTGCAGGCAGCTCTTCAAGGAGGGGCTGGACACAGGAGACAGACAGACACAGAGACAGACGGAGAGCGCGCCTTCTGCTCTGGAATCACACGGAGGCCGGGCGAGCCTTGCTGTGCTGTTACCTCGGGGAACCTCGGACAGGCCCCCGCGCTGGTTGGCTGGAGCCGGCGGAGACGTGCTGGAGAGGCTGGGGGCCATTATTTGGAGGCTCAGGGGCAGCTCCCTGAAGGTGGCCACTGAGCTGGGCACGAAGGCTCGCTTCTGGTAAGCGCTGCTGCGCTGAGAGGGGTCGGAGGAAGAAATTTAACACACGGGGACCCCAGGGTGGGCCAAGCACAGCTCCAGGCACTTCACGTCCACACTCTCCTCCAGTCTTCACGGTCGCTAACCCTCGGCTGGTGTCTTCCACCAGGCCGTTCGTCCACGCTGCTTCAGCCCTCACTGCCCAGACGCTGCTCCGGATGAGGGGGAGGGGGTGTGAACGCGCCCGGGGGCCTCCCTCACGCAAGAACACCGTCCTCCACCTCCTCCGGAGAGCGCGCTTCTCTGCCTACAAAACGGGAAGCCGCTGCCCTCCGCGGACTGAGAGATCTGAGTGCGCTTCTTCGCGGACACTGTCCGTGTGCCCCCTGTCCCCCTGCTCACCGGGCTCTGGCAGGGCCTGCAGGACGGTCCTGCGCGCAGCCGGCTTCCTGCCGCTCTGTCCGTGAGCCCCTCACTCTTCCGCATGGCGCTGATGCATGCCATCTACTCGGAGAGAGCTCTGCAGGGTGAGGGGTCTGGGACCCAAAACTCAGCCCCAAGCCCCTCCGTCGGGGACCTGTCAGAGCAGCGCCACCGGACGGGCCAGCAGCACCTCGTGGTCAGAGAAAAGCGAACGGGGCGAGCATCCACCCGGCCTCCTCCGGAAGCCGGACCACACACGGCGGACGCCTGTGCCTCTGGCTGGAATCGCGTCAGCCTCGCACGGCTCCCAGCTGGCTGTGCAGATCAGGCGCTCCGAGGGGCAGCTATCTATGTCTTTGATTAATAAAAAATGGGAGATAAATTAATAATGACTTAAAACATGCAATTTGGGATCAAAATCTTCCAAAGAGAGGGGAGTTCCGGAGAGGGAAAAGCCAGAGGCCGGCCCTGAGCCTGGCACTGCTGAGCAGGGCGCTGAGTTCTCACGCCCACTGTGTGCCAGGCGCTGGGCCTGGGCATCGCACGGCCCCTTCGCCCTCAGCCAGCCCTGGGAGTGTGCTGCCACCCCCACTGGGCAGGGGAGTCAACCGAGGCTCAGAGAGGCCACGTCACTCGCTTTGACTCAGTGAGAGATCGGAACCTAGTTTAGCCACGCATAAAAAGGAACGTTTTGTTAAACGAAGGGAACGTGCCCTAGCGGTTTAGCTCAGTGGATAGAGCATCGGCCTGTGGACCAAAGGGTCCCGGTTTCTATTCTGGTCAAGGGCGTGTCCCTTCGTTGCAGGCTCCTTCCCGGCCCACAGGGCGAGTGCAGGAGGCAACCAATCTCTCACACCAGTATTTCTCTCTATCTTTCCCTCTCTCTTCCACTCTAAAAATCAATGGAAAAATATTCTCGGTGGGGATTGAAAATAAATCAACAAACAAAAAGAAGGAGAAAAGAACCCTACCTGTGGTGTCTGGAAAGTCACTCTGGTTTGAGTTTCCGAGGAAAAGAAGGGGGACAGGCAGAAAGAAGGAACAGCATGGAAGCTGCGAGTGCTGGGCACTGTTTATACCTTTGCTGCTCAATGTGGACCAGGCCGGCCCACAGTAGGCGCTCACAAATGAGAGACTGAAAAGTTTGGGGGCACATAAGGACCATCAAATCCTGAGGTGGGAGAGAGGGAATGAAAGTTTTGTTTGTTTTTAAATATATTCTTACTAGAGGCCCAGTGCACAAATCTCATAGGACGAGAGAGGCTGACATGATTCCTGTGGGTGGGGGGGTGGGGGGGGTTTCACTCAGCCCAGCCTGCACCCTTCCCAACCCGGGACCCTTGGAGGATGTCTCTCACAATCCTGGACTGTTTCCTAACTGCTCACCAGTCTGCCTGCCTGATCACTCATAACTGCCTCTCCCCCTGCCAGCCTTATCACCCCTAACTGCCTCTGCCTGCTGGCCTGATCGCCCCCAACTGCCCACCCCCACCGACCTGGTTGTGCCCAACAACCCCCCCTCAAAAGTCCCCCCCCCCCACCTGCCTGGTTGCCCTATGCAGCCTGCTGTTTGGTCTCCCCTCACTGCCCCCCCTACTGGCCTGGTTGCCCCATGCAGCCTGCTGCTCAGTTATTTGGTCACCCCTCTCTGCCCCCCCTGCTGGCCAGGTCGCCCCACCCAGCCTGTTTGGTCATCCATTCAGTTGTGCCAGTCGATTGGGCTTTTATATAGATAGATTGATTTCAGAGAGGGAGAGAGAGAAATATCAATAATGAAATCATTGATCTGCCTCCTGTGCACCCTACACTGAGTATCAAGCCTGTAATCCGGGTATGTGCCCTCACTGAGAATCAAATCTTGACCTCCTGGTTCACAGGTCGACACTCAACCACTGAGCAACACAGGTCGGGCGAAACGAGTATTTTTAAGCCTTTAGTTTTGGAAGCACTGTGAGCAGGTATTTTTAATCTTATTTTTTAAATCTTTGACTATGGAACTATTTCAAACAGAAAAAAGGTAGAACGTAATAAAGCAGAATCACCCAGCTTCACCAGAGGCTCATATCTGGCCATATGCATGTCAATTATTCTTATAACGCAATGACACAGGTAAGAGCCCTTCACCACACCACCCCCCCCCCCCCCGTCACCCCCACCCCTTTCCCTGTCGCCAGAGGTCACCCCTGTCCTTTAAGTTGGTGGGTCTCCTCCCTGAGTATTTGGCGCCATTTTGTGTTTTTAAACTTTCTGAATGTGGTGATTTCACTGTGCCCCTCCTTTTTCCTGTTATTACACTTCAGGATTTAGTCTGTGCTGGCACATGCAGGCCTGGCTCCTCACCTTACTGCTGTGCGGTATTCCGGTGCAGGTCTCTGTAGAACAGTTCAGCTCGTTTCTGCATTCCCTCACTGGGGGCACAGACACAAGTGCTTTTATCCTTTGCTGTTTCAAACGGCGCGGCCATGACAATCTTTACACACATCTCCCGGTGCGCTCGTGTGACACATGTGATCATCACAACAATGACAGCGTGCTGAAATGCCTGGACCCCTACATGACCTTGGAGAACGGCTTACTGTCTCATAAGCTTAGTTTCCTCATCAGTAAGACAGGGTACTAAAATGCATTTTGGCAACAATTACATGCTTCAGTGTAGCTGTAAACGCATTCTGCAACCTGTAAAGTACTCCTTGAGTATCGGCTGTTTATGATTCAGGGGGTAGACATGCAGGATGTACGGAGCAGCCCCCACATGGGGGACTCACCAAGCAGGCCTGGGAGGGGCCCTCGGTGTGCTCGCATGCAAAGGGGACCGTCTGAGGGGTGCCACGCGGAACACACGAGCCTGCCCACTCCTCTGGCCTGGAGTGCAGAGGAGGAAAGGCTTCGAGGGGAAGTGCCAGAGCCGAGCCCTCAGAAAACACGGCGGCCGAGGCGCGTGGCGGCAGGAGACGGGGCGGCAGGTGGCCCGGGAAGCGGAAGCGGCCAATGGGAAGGGAATGACTGATGCAAGAGGACAAACTGAAACACAGGGGCTGGGGGCCAGGGGGCCAGGGCTCAGCAAAAAGGAATAGCAAAGAGGCCGTATCCCGAGGGTGGCAGGGAGCCACCGGAGGATCTTCAGCAAAGGAATGAGTGACAGGCTCGGATGTCTGAGTGAGCGCCGAGGCCCGTGCCCACAGTCAGCAATAACGCACTGTCCACTTGAAAACGTGTCACGAGGGCCGATCTCACGTTAAGTGTCCCCACCGCAGTGAAAAAGAATGGTCTGGCTGAGTGTGAGAGGGCGTGGGGAGAGGCTGGAGGCCGGGAGACCCGTGAGGCGGCTCGAGCAGGGCAGCACGACACGGTGAAGGTGGGCCGAGGCCGCTGTCCTGTGCTGCCCTCACCAGACAGCGCACCTCCCACGCGGCAGCATCGCCAGGAGAGGCGGCAGCAGGGGGCTGCTGGCGGGAAGCTCGCCCTGACTCAGAGGTGCACCCCCACATCTCCCAACCAGTCCTCTTCCTGGCTCACGTAGCGTCCTGGGGGGCACAGCAAGGCCACAAGCCCTCGTTCCCGGGAGACATCCGCTATTGGCATCTTGGCACCAAGGCATGGCTGGGGCCCTGGGGAGAGACCCACCGTACCCAGGTGGCACAGGTCCGCGTGGAGCGAGGGAAGGGGAGGGTGACATTATAGGACGAGAGGGGCTGCAATAGCCTTGTGATATCTACCTGAAAGTATCTAAAGGAGACAAAACAGACACAAGAACTGCCCCAGACTCCCCACCCCTCAAGCAGGGACTCCCACCAGCCTTGTGGGTGAGGGGATTACCTTTGGAGAGGTAATCCCCTCACCCACTCAGTGCAGGGAGGCCCCTGGCCCTCGCTGTCTACTCCCCACGTCCCTGCCCAGAGCACGCGGCCCTGGCATACAGGTTCGCACCTGCTCTCCTTTCGGGCTGTCAGCTCCCGGGAGGAGCTTCCTAGAACTCACCTGCCTTTCCCTGTTGCTTCCTCGGTGCCTACAACAGAGCCTGGCTCATAACAGGACCCCCAGCAGTCCCTGCGAGGAGAGCCAGCGAGATGAGCTGAGGGAGAGGAGGGTGTGGGGACGACACCCAGGTTCCCGAGGCCCCGAGAGAAGAAGCGTGTCTTGTTCACGTCCCAGGCGAGGCCAAAGGAGAGCACAGCTCCTGCTGGCCTGACGCAGCGCAGGCCTACACACACACACACACACACACACACACACACACACGGTGCTGAGAGAGCTGCTGGACAGCCCGCTTTCCCAAGCACATCCCCCAGAGCGCCAGCCCGCAGACTCCCGTGGACAACAGTCCACAGCGAAACACGGTGAAACAGTGAAGAAGTCCCTTTACCGTTGGACTTGCAGAGCCTTTACTGCCCTCGCGTACATGTGGTTCTCCCGGAAGGTCACAGTCAGGATCCCCCCCCAGATCTGACCATGGAATTGCACCTCTGAAACCCTTGGCAACACCCCCAACTGCTTGTTGTGATTAGTTACTGAACATGGCACAGCACACAGATTTGTTGCAACTTTTGGGGCGGTGCAAGGAAGCCCTTTTTTTCACAAGTGAAAATTAATCCCAGCTCCAAAACACAAACAGGGTAAAAATAAGACCGCTCTGATGAAGGAGGGCCTGGAGACCCCGCCTGGCCATCCCGTCACTGCTGCCACTGCAGGAACCCTCGTGTCCCGCGGAGCCCAGTTTGAAAACCACTGAGCACAGGCTGCCACTCGGAGGCCTGGCTTCTGCTGCTGGCCCCGCCGTGAACGGTTTTCCTTGGTCTGGTCAACTCGGCCTCATCGGCCCTCAGTTTCCCCACTGACACACCGAGTCTGGCAGACCAGGTGCTCTCCAGAGTCCTGAACTTTAACCTCTGACATGAGGAGGCCTGGGATGGTCTGGCGGTAAAATTCTAACTAGATGATTCTCTGGTTCTCTCATCCCGAGGTTCCGTGACTTAAGGTTCTGATTCTGGGACTGCCTGCGGCCAGCTTGAGCTGGTGCAGGCACTGGAGCCCGGCTGCGAAAGGCAGAATTCATTAGCTGCAGTGCGCCGCCCAGGGGCGCCCGCTTCCCCGGGGAGGGCACGCCCCACGCAGGATGGAGGGGGCGGGAGCGGGGGTGGACGGGAGGGGTGGGTGGGTCAGAATCAGCATCCACTCAGTGGGCAGAGCAGCGAGAAGGACCCAGGTCTCCTGACTCCTGCTCTATCTTTAGATCTCCATGGCAACCGTCGCCAGGGCACCAGAGCTGAAGGGAGGGCTGAGCTGGCTGCCTGCAGGAGGAGGGGCATTTGTGTCTGTGGCTCTTTGGCTGGAAAAGGGACTCTGGGCTGGGCTCTAGAGAAGGGAGACTGAGCGAAGCCCTTCGCAGCAGGGAGGGCCCAGGGCCAATACAAAACAAAGGTAACCCAAAGCCCCACCTCGCTCCAGGAATGGGTCAGGTCATAGAACCCAAGTCAGTCCTGTGTCAGGCCCCTGCCCCTGGAGGCACAGAAGGCAAGGTCCTCTCAGCCGCCCCTGCGGTCATTCCCTGCAGTTAAGGGACAGTCACTGAGCCAGCCCTGAGGCCTCCCAGGGATTCCGTCCCCCGGGGAAGCACAGGGCACGGTCCAATGGGAGCCCGCACAAGCCCTCTCACCTGTGGAACCAGGGGAGCTCTTCTGGCCCCTCCTCTTCCTGCAGCTCAGCCTGGACCAGGACTCCTCCAGGACTCCTTCCTGACTCCCAGCTGGCTACTCCTCCCCAGGCTCCTGCCACCCTCCTCCCTCCACACTGCAGGATGCCAGCTGAGGGAGGCCGCAGGTGAGAAACAGGTGCGCGGAGACCACGTGGCGAGGCAGCTGTGGTCTTCTGTCGCGTGTTCTGATTCCGGCCCGTGTTCCTCCCTGGGTCTCCCTGGCAGGCCCCTGGCCTGGGCTTTCAGGGAGGCCAGGCCTAGAAGAGGAAGTAGGAGTCCTCGGCCAGGCCCGCACGCAGCAGGCACCCGGCCATGTCCTTGGTAAACTCGGCCGAGCCACAGACCAGCGCAAACGGCTTTCTCCGGCAGGAGCCAAGCAGCTCGTCGACCAGGTCCTGGCCCAGGCGGCCGAAGCGGGTCTTCTCCCGGTAGCTCCAGGGCAGCTGCTCCGGGGAGCTCTCCTGGGATGGTGAGAGACAGGGGGGGGTGACTCCCGGGGGTCCTTAGAGCTCACACACAGCTACCCTTGCCCAATGAGGAAACTGAGGCAGAGGGGCTGGGAAGGTAACCTTCGCCTAGCCCTACCACAAGTCAGGCCCTTGCTCTCGCCGGACACAGCACCCCCACCGCCAGGGGAGGCACAGGGAGGAGGGACATTGGGGCGGCCACACAGGGAGGTAGGAGCAGAGGCGGAACTCAGGCCCCGTTGTTTGTCACTGCCTTTGGGGGTCCCTCTGGGGGGAGTGTTTGCTCCCCATTACTGTGGGCCTCCCAGCCTCTTTCCAAGGCTGTCTACACCACATGTGTCAAACACAAGGCCCGCGGGCCAAATCCGTCCCGCCAGGCCTTGCAATGTGGCCCGCACCACGCTGTCATCACTGCACTCCGCTGCGTTTCCATCACAATGACAGTTTATGACTGTTCAGTAAACCATTCGGCCCGCAATTTAGGCTGGATTTTAGATTTTGGCCCCTTCTCTGATTGAGTTCGACACCCCTAGTCTACACCATCAACCGGGGAGCATCACTGGCGTTCACCTGTTTTAAGGCGTCAGTTAACTTGCTGGTTTACCAGTATTTCCTGGTGGTCACTCTGTGCCTCGCACTGTGCTAGGTCTGGGACAGGGCAGCTGCTCTGAACAGGCCTCGTGCTGCCCATGCAGATCAGAGGCTCCCACCACAGCGCCTTGGCCAGGAGAGGGGTCTATGTCTCCCACGGTGGTCTGGGCTGCACAGAGCCGAGGGACCAGGGCCGGCTCCTTCTGTGCTGGGGGCCTGGGCTGTGGCTTTCAGCCTCAGGGCCACCAAAGGAAAGCTCTGCTGCCGCCAACGTGGAGGGATTTCTTTAGGTAAACATTTTACTGAAGTGTAACATGCGGATAGAAAATGGTAGCAATCATAAAGTATATGTAGTGTGAAGAACTTGAACGAGGAACTCATGTAACCAGTACCCAAAACAAACAAAACCAACAGAATGGGACCACTCGGACTTCTGAGCTCCTAGTTCCTGGCTAAGCAGAGGCAGGAAGGAAAGGGGTTCGGGTTCAGGTTTGGGTTTGGATCTGACTTTGTTGCTACGCCTGGCTGAGTGACAGTGACCTCTCTGAGCCGTGTGGTGAGAGTGGAGTGATGAGAAACCTGGCAGAGGCTCTGTGAGGGCAACTTCTAATCTCAGGTGCAGGCCAGAGCCCGGGAGCCCACCTCAGAGCTGCTCGGACCCTGGGGGCCCTCTGAGCACAGCCATGTGGTGTTGACAGGGCGGCCTCTGAGGACCTGGATCTTCCTGGCTCCCTCCATGCTCTCACACACCCTATGGGCCCTTCAGGGCAGGAACCATTGGCCTCCCTCTCCTTCCCCATTCCCTCAGGCCAGTTAGGCTGGCTCCGCCCTCCTCAGTTGCACACCCTGAGATGCACTGGGTCTGGTTACTGCCCAGGTGGGGAGGGGACGGTAAACAATGTGCTGTGAAGGAGAGCCCAGGCAGTGGCAGGTAAAACATCTCTGCAGCCTAGGGCTCAGGGAGCACTTCCGCTTCCTGCCTGAGAAGATAGGGGCTGAGTAGTGTTGGGTGAAGAAGTGGGGAGGAGTACTCCCTCCTGGCAAAGGGAACGGTGGTGAGCACAGGCCCGGCAGCCAGAAGGGCAGACACCTGCCAGCTCAGCAGACCAGTGCCACCAGAACGCAGCACGCAGGGAGGGTGTGCCTGGAGACAAGGCGGCAGAGGACTGGCACAGCCATGCCGGCTGAGAGCAGTGGGAGCCAGGGAAGGGCTGGAAGCAGGCGGAGGTGTGTCAGAGTTGCCCTCCCAGCTGCAGGATGAAGGACAAATCAACAGGGGGGTGTCTGGAGCAGGGAGATGCTTCAAGATTCAAGCTGTCCAGGCAGGAGGGGAGCATCCTGTGTGGAGGAAGTGCGGACGAACAGGAGGTGCCTCTCACTCCGTCATCCCTGCCACTGATGGCCAGCCCACTCGCCTGACCCATCCCAGGCCCCTGGCATCATCCAGGCCCCAGCTCAAGGCTGAAGGCCCTCTATTGCTGGTGAACTTGAACTCTACCCACAAGCCCAGGTTCGGGAGCCACCTCTTCCGTGAAACCCTCCCTGCTTGCTGCAGCATCCTGAACACCCTCAGCAGCACCCAGCCCTGTGCTGTCTTACACTGATGAGCAGTCAGGGCAGGGCCTCTGGAGTAGGGCCACCAGGATTCACATCCAGCTTTCCACCAACTGGCTGTTACCTTGGGCAAGGTTCTTAAATCTCCTGAGCCTCAGTTTCCACATCTGTACAATGGGCATGATGGCAGCATAAAACCCCTAAGACTGTGGTGGGGGGTTACATGCGTTAACACACATAAAATGCTTAGAACAGGGCCAGGCACAGAGGAAGAGCTCAAGGAGGGGAAGCCATTGTCAGCCCTCCCTGTGGCTGTCTCCCATGAACAGGTGATGGCTGGATGGGAGGGAGCAGGCCATCCTCCTCTTTCATCAGGCACCTGGCTTGGAAAAAGGAAGCGGGGCAATTCTGCCAGGTGCCAGCTTCCTGCCCCAGCTGCCACCCTCCCTGACTAGGCCCTCGGGCAGGGGGGAGGGGGCTGCCGGGCAGCAGTGGCCTTTCCCTCAGCCCCTCCGTCAGGCTGCATCGGCCTTCTGCTTCGTTGCCCTGCCTGGGCACTGCTGCTGCTGCTCACGTTCACCAAGCACGACCCTCTCGACAACTCTGTCCCGCAGACAAGCCAGCAGACCCCGGCCCCTGGGGACCCCCGGGCCTCTGGTATTGGGAAGGGAAACCCAGTTTCCTGACACGCCCACCCAGCCACAGACGTCAAGGATCACAGACGTCTTTAGGGACACTCGAAAGCTGACTCAAAGAGGAAACTGATGAGAAGGGTGTTCCAACGTTCAGGGCAATGAGGCTGACCCTGAGCAGCAGGGCACCCTAACCCAGGGCTGCAGGAAAGGGAAACAAAGCTACTGACAGGGGAAGGCAGGTGAACAGAGAGAGCTGAGGGCTGGGCTTGACATAAGGGCCATGATGGGCCCCCAAACTATTAGGGCCCACAGGGGAGGGGCTGGGAAGGCCTGAGTGAAATGAGGAAATGGGGAGCCAGAGGCAGGGGGCTCAGGAGGCAGAATCGCTTCCAGCTAGAGTGTTTGCAGCCAGGAGAGTTGGAAAATAGCTTTCCTCGCAGGCAGGGGCAAAGTGATGTGGCAGGGACCCTAAGAAGCACAGTGGGCGCGGACGGAGGCAGTGCCTGCTCTGTGCCTGGCCCTGTGCTAAGCACTGAGGAGTGTGGTGACCCAGACAGGCGGACCCTGCCTCAAAGAATTGATCACAGCCTCAAGGAGTTCTGTGGTCTGGCCACTCACTCCACGACCAGACCCCCAGATCACACAACTGCTGATGCCAGAGGGCGGATGACAGACAGCAAAGCATGATGGGGGGTAGCTGGAGCTTTGGAGTCAGAGTGTCCCAGGCTCCAATCCTGGCTGTGCCCCATCCGACAGCACCTCCACCCTCCTGAGCATGTTTCCTCATCTGCATAAAGAACTCCCTGCCAGGCGCACGGTGGGGATTCCCCCGGGGCCCGATCACTGCAGCAGGGCGCAGAGGCCACAGCAGCCTCGGGACAGGCACAGAGGGCAGCCTCAGTGGGGAAAGGAAGTCACCGCCCGGGGCTCACCTGGCTGAGAACAAAGAAGGTGCGGACGTTCCAGAAGCGGGCCTGCTCCTGCAGGAAGGTTTTCAGGTAGATGCCCTCGAAGGTCTTGAAGCAGCCGACCAGGGTGACGAAGGTCTCATCCTCCGCATTGTCTGTGATGCTGTGCAGGAGGGGCACCATGGGAGCCAGGCCGGTGCCCGACGCCAGCATGAGGAGCTCACCATACTGGGCAACAGGAAGGGTACAAACAGGAAGGGTTGGGGGGTGGGGGGTGTCTCACCACACCTACCCACTTTGGGGCTGTTGTTGGGCTTGCCTGAACCGGAGGGCCCTGCCCTTCCCAGTGCTCCTCCCTCTGAGTGACCCCCCTGCCTCCTCTAGGATTACCGCCTGGCTTGTTAGTCTACAGCCCGGGAGGTCTGTGTTAACAGAAATCAGGGAATCTGGTGCTGAAAGGGAAGGTATAGCCCATCCTACAGTGGCTTGTTTTCCTTCCAAAACATCCCCACAGGACTCTTACCTGCTTCTGCTGGCAGGTAGCCCGTTACCTTGGGGGTCAGCTTGCTCTATTACAGACTGACCTCTTTGACAGGGAGGTCTTCCCACCTCACATTGAGCTAAAACCTGCTCTCAGCTCAGCCTTGCCCACGGCCGCCATGCGGGCCCGCCACTCGGGCTGCTTCCTCTCTGCAGAGGTCTCACGGAAACCTGAGCCTGCCTCTCCAGACTACAAAGATCCTTTCCACGGATTCCTTCCCCTTTCTGAGCCCCTACTGCGGCCACGCCATCCAGCCCCGAATCCCTGCCCTGCCAGTCTTCTGGCTCTCAGCCTACCCTGGTCCTCCTCCTCCCACTGCTGCTCCGGTGCTCCCCTGGGAAGCCTTCCCTGAGCCAGGGACAGGTGAGGGGTCCTTCCTGCTTTCCCCACAGCCCCCTATGGACCATGCTGTGCTGTTGTCATCCGTGGGGGTGTCAGTCTCCCCGATAGACCAGGAGCTTCTGGAGTCCAGGGGTCTTGTCTGACCCATTTTGGGCCCAGCCCTGGATGAAGACATGGAGCTGTGTGTGGAGGAACACACAGATCCATGCTAATGTGTCAGTCCTCCAGGCTGACTTAATGTCCATCTGCAATGAAGACAACTGCAGAGCAGCAAGACAGGGCCGGGAAGAGGGCTGAGCACCCCAGCCTTCTCAGGGGCCAGTGTCAATGTGTGGGACCCCATCTCTTCTTCCTCACTGCTAGGCCCTACATCCTCCCTAGACAGGAAGTGCCGGGGCTTTCCATCCGCGTTCTGTGGATGCAGAGGAGCAGCCACGAGGCATGGAGAGGTTGCACCCAGAAAAGGTGGTGAAGATCACCTCCATCAGGCGCACCTCAAGGTTGGGAGAAAACGGAAGATCCTCAGTGCCTGCTCTTAGGTCTGGGAGACACAGGGACATCCTCAACTAAAATGCAAGGCTGAAATGTTTAGCACTAGGGGAATATTGTAGAAGAGTATTAACTGCCTGGCCAGTATGGCTCAGTGGTTGAGTGTTCACCTATGAACCAAGAAGTCAAGATTCGATTCCTGGTCAGGACACATGCCTGGGTTGCAGGCTCCATCCCCAGTGGGGGCATACAGGAGGCAGCCAATCAGTGATTCTCTCTCATCATTGATGTTTCTCTCTCTCTCTTTCCCTCTTCCTTCCTCTCTGAAATCAATAAAAATATACTATGCATATGCACACCCCTTATCTGTAAAATGAGGGTAGCAGTATTAGGAGCTGTTGTGAGGATTCACATCAGAACCTGGCACCTACACGCGTGATGTCACTACACGCACAAAGGTAGTACATACACCGACACACCTAAGAGGATCTAGAAGGATACATGCCAAGGTAGTCAGACTGATATGTCTGGTTAGATGGCCTGCAGGTGTCTTTATTTTCTTCTTATTGTCTCTCTCTATATCTGATTTTTTTTGTGTGTGTGATGAACATGTATTGCATTTATAATAAGGAAAAACAAATAATAAAAGCTATTTTTAATTTAAAAAGAATGGAAAGGAATGGTTCATTCTCTTCCTTGTTTTTTTGTTTTACTTTGTTTTCCTAATTAGAAAGGTAATAGGTGTTCATCATGGAGAATTTGGAAAGTCTAATGAAGAAAATAAAAATCACCCCTTATTTCATCACCCAGAGCTGAAATAATGCTATCATTTAATTGCATTTTCTTTCCATATTTTTTTTCCTGTGCATTTTAACTTAGTTTCCCAGTCTGGTGTCTATTCAGTTTTGTGCCTAGTGTTTGTCACTTGATCTTATAACATAAACATATAATATCAATTATAAACATAATTTTAAAATCCAGGATAATGCTTTTAAGTACCTGTAACCCAGTGTACTTAGATGTTCCCCTTTGGCTGAATCCCAGCTATCTCCAATTTCTTGTTATCATCAATAAAGCTGCAATGAACATGTGCAAGAGTCAGCACTTTGGATTCCTCCCACAGACAGACTTCCAGAAGTGGAATTACTGGGTCAGAGATTTTTAAGACTCTTCCTACTGCCAAACTGCCTTCCAGATATGCACCAACTGATGCAAAATTACTGATTCCTCCTGGGAACAGGAGGGAAGCCTCTGAGCGTAGCATGAAGATAAGGAGAAAGCCTTCCCGGCTGGGAAGCAGTGGCCTCCCAGGCAGTGAGCCATGAGACGGAATCAGGGGCGGTCTCTGTGGTCTTGTGACAGGAATGTGCATCTGGAAGGATATGTGAGGGTGAGATGGAATCGGGTCTTAAATACCAAGGACGTGAGTCTGAGTTTTCTTAGAGGTGGGCAGTCACAGACAGTTCTGGAGCACAGGCAGGCAATTTTATTTCTTAGCGCCTATTCCATCGCCTCCCATGTCCAGCCCCAAGGATGCTCTCGGGCGTGGGTTTGGGCTCAGGAAGAATGATGGTACAGTGAGACTCAGAAACCCAAAACTGGAAGCTGCTGCACTCCTGGAGGCTAAGCTGGGGTGTGGAGGGGAGAGGGAGGAAGGAAGGAGGGGGGTCTCCTGAGGATCCAGTATGCTGGCACTGACCTGGTTTGGTTTATAGAAGAAGTTTCCGAAAGGTCCTCGCCAGAAAGCCGTGTCTCCTGCTCTCAAGGATTCAACATACCGGGCCATGAGCCCAGTCTGGTAGCACTGGGAGCAAACACAGGAGACCTCATCGGCATGGGCAACGCTGCCATGCAAACCACACCGGCCTCTCCTGCGGAGCCCTTTCTGCAATCCAAGTACTTTACCAGTGGCATCTCATCCCACAGAATTAGTACTGCCACCCCAATTTTCAGAGGAGGCCCCGAAGCTTACACAGAAGGGAAATGGTGAGGCTGGCATGAGAATCCAAAGGACCTTCAGCTTTAACTGCAGAGGTCTCAACCCACACAACTCAGGGCCCAAGCAGGTAACGTCACTGAGTGAAGAGCTGGGTATGAAATGGTCAGTGACAACTAACACTCAGTGGCAGTACCAGAGGGCAGCAGGGAACGGTAGGGACTGTGGTAAACTGGGGAGTGAATGCTCCTTCTAAAGGAAGAAGCTACTTTGTAGGTTCCAGTTCGGTTTGTGGGGCGGATGATGCCAGATCTGATTTCCCACAGGAGCAAAACATCCATATTTTTACGTTAAATCTCCCACACTTGAAATGTCAGCAATTAAGTCAAATTTTTAAAACACTCTACAGGCCAAAACCAAATGCAATTATGGGCTGGAATCAGTGTGTAGACCACTCATTTGAAATCTCCGCATTACCCTACACTGGATGAAAAAATGAAGGATGTGGAGATTCCTCCATGGGAGGCAGACTGCGTTTTCTGCGGGCCTGCCCACGCTGAGCCAGGCACCAGGCGGAGGCTGCAGGGAAGACAGCTGGACCCGAAGCTCCGTGAAGGCAGCCATAAATATATGAATGAACAAATGAATGAATGAGTGGATTTACCAATCATTCAGTATTCAGATTCAGGCCCTCCCTTAAAGGAGCTCACAATCCAGGAGGAACCTGTCTCGGACATACACACGGTAGAGACTACCTAATACTGCGTGAGAAGCATAAAGTGCGGGGAGAACACTGAAGAGGTGCAGTCACTTCCAATGGAGCAGGATCAAGAATAGCCTCCTGGCCTAGATGGTTTGGCTCAGTGGAAAGAACGTCGGCCTGTGGACTCAAGGGTCCCAGGTTCGATTCCGGTCAAGGGCATGTACTTTGGTTGTGGGTAAATCCCCAGTGAGGAGTGTGCAGGAGGCAGCTGATCGATGTTTCTCTCTCATCGATGTTTCTAGCTCTCTATCCTTCTCCCTTCATCTCTGTAAAAAATCAATAAAATATATATTTAAAAAGAGAGAGAGAGAGAGAATAGCTTCCTGTCCTAGACAGTTTGGCTCAGTGGACAGAGCATCAGCCTGTGGACTGAAGGGTCCCAGGTTTGATTCTGGTCAAGAGCACATACCCTAGTTTGATCCCCAGTAGGGGGCATGCAGGAGGCAGCTGACCAATGATTCTCTCTCATCATTGATATTTTTATCTCTCTCTCCCTCTCTGAAATTAATAAAAATATTTTTTTTATTTTAAAAAAAGAATAGCTTCCTGGAAGAGGAAGCGTTTGAGTTGGTCCTTGAAAACTGGGCAAGATCAAATTCTCTGGGAACGGGAGGGAGAGGAAGAGAGAATTCTGGGCATCAAGTATGGTACGGGCAGGGGTAGGACAGCCCAGGCCATGTGCTGGGAACAGCAAGTGGACACAGTAGGGTGGGGGTAGGAGGGAAGCACTGAACCTCAGGCCTGGGCCAGTGATATGGGATTATAACCAGACTGGGCTTTGGTCACCAGACATGCTTTTACGCACCCACAGCTACCTCTGGTACCACCCCTGACTTCCTTAGACACCATGTGCCTGAAGCCAGGGAAGTGCTGGCGTGGCTCACCTGGAAGAGGTCTGGGAGGGAAGCTTCAGTTCCCCTACCTTGCTGGAGGCTGTCTCTGAGCACACCTTGCTTTCTGGCCCCAGGCTCAGCGGAGGCACAGCCCACACAGAGCCTGGCTCATCACACACGAGTTAACTAGGACGGACACCGAAATTTGTGTGTATATATATATATATTTTTAATTAATTTTTTAATTAATTCTCCCACTCGGCATTGCATTACCCTAGGGGTCTGGGGAGAATGACTTCCCCCCTCTGAGGATCAGCTTCTCTCTCTGTAAAATGGGGAGATGATCTACTCTGTAGGATGGTGGTTATGAGTTGAAACGAAACAATGAAGAGCCAGAAGCAGTGCCTGGTGCCCAGGAGGTGCCTGAGAATTGGAATTCCTCATCTACCAGGGAGGGTGAACCTAACACCGTCTGCCTTCCCAATTTGCAAAGACATTTCCAGCTCTTCCCAGCCAGCGGCTTAGGGGTAATTAAGCATCCCTCCGCAGAGAGGCTTTCTGGGAAACAAAGGAGAGGAGCAGCCTTGCAGCTGGGAGGGAGCTGTCTCCAGGCTTATCCTTTCAGCAGACACACACACCCAGACAAGCAGCTTGGGGAAGCAGGCCATTTGGAGAGGATTTGTGGGATCTTCCAGACAAACAGTTGTGCGGAGAAGGGATCCCATCCAAGCTTATGTGCGAGGAGTAAACACTCGGGCGCTGAGGGCGGCGGGGGAGGTGGGAGCCAGAGACAGCGCTGGGGTCTCGGAGTCAGGAGGCCAGGGCTCACCATCTGTCGCACTTACTAGCTGTGGCGCCTGAGGTTCTCCTGGGGCCTTAGTTTGCTTATCAATGAAATGGGGATAATCCCTGTCCTACGGGGGAGATAAAAGGATGTGAAAGCTATTCTTAAACGCTGGAGTTCCCTAAGACTGCCTGTGGGAAATGATGATCTAGGGCTATGTATTAGGCTGACCCATATGAAACTGCTGTTTCTGTAAGTCAAAAATATTAAGAGGATCAGCAATTTCATGCAGTTCCACCTAATTATTTCCCCCCCACATAATTGGACCTTCATGACTTCTTATATATTTGGTGCCTATTCTCTGGGCCTCTGGGGTATTTTGTATCCAACCCACTTTGTTCATGTCGTCTCTGCCAACCCCCTCACCACCCTGGCTGTCCCACCAGCACCTTTCCTCCTGCCATTCAGACTGGGAGCAGTTCCCACAAGACCCTGCTCTGTCTCACCTCTCCCCGCCTTGGCTTACCCATACCCTTGGCCTCGATGCCATCCCCTGCCACTGCCCATTTCCACGCCTCCTTTAAGACCCAACTCAAATGCCCCAGCCCCTGCCCGCCTTCCCGAGAAGTAACTCAGGTTAGTGTGGTCCACAAGGCGCTCCACACCCTACTTCTCCTTGCATGCCCCCTTACGCTTCGGGACAAACGATAAGCAGTTCCCCCCTCAGGCCTCCTTCTCCGTGGCACATGCAGTTCCCACACTCAGAGCTTCCGCCCACCTTTCCCTCTGGTTCCCACTCCTTTACTTACACATACCGCATCCTCCGCAGGGAGGCCCGGCCTGCTTCCCATAGCTCCTGCCACCCGGTGCGGCACTGGGGCCTCCTGGTGTCTAACACCCTGTCCTGCTCTGGCTGCTCCTCTGTCTGAGGACCCCCATGCCCAGCACACAGTGGGTCCCCACCTCCCCGCCCCCAAGCTCAGAGCTCTCTCCATCGACAGGCACAAAAATGAGGAGCAGCTTTCACTTGCTCAGTCTGAGGCTCCTTTTCATAAAAATCTGTCAGGAATAAGCCCTCTGTTGGGGGTCGAGCAGACCCCTTCACCAGGAAGGAGATGGGAGAAGCCCTTCCTCACTGCCCCCTCTCTTCCACATCAGGAAGAACTGCCCCATCCCACCCAAACCAGCAAATGGGGGCTTCCTCCCACAGCTCAGAGTATCGTGTGAGTCAGCTCACCTTGATCAAAACTTCAAAGTAGCCTTCTGCATTGGCAGGGCTGATAGGTGTGTAGGCTCTCTGGATTTCTAAGCCATCTACTATCCCTCTGGGAGAGAGAAGCACTCAGTCAGGCAGGCAGGCATTCAACAAGCCCACCTAGGATCCACTCCACCAGGCATTGTGAAAGCGAAGGTGGGCCTGGTCATCCCCAGTGGTCCTCACTGAGGGGCGAGCAGGGGAAAAGAGCACCGGGTCCCCTGCTACCTCATGCTGGATGCATCTCCCCCACCCCTGCAGGTCACCGATATACAATATATAAAAGCCTAAGCTACTTTTATGGCGGAACAACAGACCAACTGGTCGCTATGATGTGCAATGACCACCAGGGGGCAGACGCTCAATGCAGGAGCTGCCCTCTGGTGGTCAGTGTGCTCCCTCAGGGGGACCACTGCTCAGTCAGAAGTCAGGCTCACAGGCTGGTGAGCAGAGCAGCAGTGGTGGGAGCTTCTTCCGCCTCTGGGGCAGCGCCACGGAGCAGCAAGCTGAGCAGTAAGGAGCAGGGAGCAGACAGGAGGTAAGGAGCACAGGTTCCTGGACTGCGAGAGGGTGCAGGCCAGGCTGAGGGACCTGCCCTCTGGCCCCTCCCATCCATGGGAATGGTGAGCTTTAAGGACTGCCAGCCAGGGCACAGGCCAGAACAAGCTGGGCACAAACACCAGGGATCAGTGCAAGGTGAGTGGCCAGAGGGTGCCCAGTAATATGCACTCTTTGGGTTTTCCTCATCCTCTGGCTTCACCTTCTGTCTCCTTTGCTGGTTTTTTCTCCTCTTGCCAATACCGTAAATGCTAGAGTAGCCAGGGTTGGGTTCCCTGCCCTTCCCTCTTTCCATGCCACGTGCTCCCAAATGCTGTCCAGGTGATTCCCATGCCCATGATTCCCATGCCAATGATTCCCATGCCCATGTCTGCAGCTCAGATCTCTCTGCTGAGCCTCTCATCCACAGAGTTACTGCCCTCTGGAGGTCCCACAGGGTCTTTGTGCTGGGCAGGTGAAGATGGAGACAGATGGGAGGAGTGTACACAGGCAGGCTGGGAGGAAGAAGAAACTCCAGAGGAGTGGTAAAGAGTGTACCTCAGGAGCTGGGCTGTCTGAGCTTGAATGCTGGCTCCACAACTTATCAGCGAGGTGACACTGGGCAAGTCCCCCGTTCTCGAAGACAGTGTCCTCTCTATTGACTGGTGCCAATCACACGGGTTACTACCACAGGCGCTACAGCCACCCTGCCTGCCTCCCAGTCCTGGCTCCCCCATTTCCTGACCGTGTGACCTGGGGCAGGCTACTAAACCTCTGTGACTTCGGTTTCTTCTCGGGGATGCTAATGGTACCTACCACTCGGGGTTTTGTGAGAATTCAACGCGCTCATAAGCACACAGAATTGTCCCTTGGATAGTATGTGCTGTGAGTGTTTGCTATTTTTATTACTTATTATGAAAATGCATTCTTGTTCTACCCCAAGAACCCTCTGAGTCATGTATTACTGTGTCTGCTTTGAAGATGATTAGTGGGGGGTTTAAGCTGTCGCCTGCGGCCATGCAGCTAGCAAATGGCAAAGCGGGGCTGCAAAGCTTTGATCCTCCCACTACCTGAGTATACCGTAGGATGAGGTGCTGGCCGGGCTGCAGGCCGAGCTGGCTGCTCCCAGGCAGTGCAAACCGCACCCGGTAGGTGTCCTGAGTGAGTCTGTCCAAGGCACTGATGCGGAAGGCCAGAAACGTCTCCGGGCTGAGTCGAGAGGGCAAGTTCTGCAACAGGAAAATACCCAGCAGCTAGGAAGTGGGACTCAAGACACAGGCAGGCACCTGTCCCAGATTCCCCAGGGAGAGGCTATCCTGGCAGCCCTGAGGCCGGATAGATGCTGCCGCCCTCGCCCTCTTGTCTCAGGAGTCCCTTACCGGCAGTTCCTTCCCTCTCAGCAGGCTTCTGTCCTTGCTGGCTCGGGCTGCCTCCCACCTCGCCAGGTCTCGGGCGTAGAGGTCGAACACACAGGGTGAGCAGCCACTGCCGCAGCACTGGGAGGGCAGGGGCTCCGCAGGCCGAAGCTGCAGCCAGGCTTCCTCATCGTCCTCCTCCTCCTCCTCCCTCGCATCCATCGTCAGAGGGCTCAGGCAGCCTGGGGGGACAGCAGGTGCTCTTCCCAGAGCAGGCCCGGCTCTGTGAGAGTCACGGGCCCAGGGCCCATTCCCTGGAAGGCCAGGGAGAGAGAAAACCTGTGGTTACACTCTGGTCACCGGACTCCTCCCATCCTCCTGAGGCCAGCAGATGCCTTGCGTGAGAGCGTGAGCTGTGTGAGCTGTGTGAGCTGTGTGAGCACCGAGGACAGGGAAGAACCACCCTGGAGTCTGGTGCCTGGAGGGGGAGGCAGGCAAACAGAACATATCAAAGCTGGCATCAAGGTTTCCTGACCTTTTCCTTTGCTCTGAGTGCTGGATCAAGCACTTTACATAGAAAAACCTTACTGAATTTTTAAAATATTTTAGAATTCCACAGGCAAATTGAAGTAAAAGAGGATGTTCTCTCCCTCTTGCCTGAGAACTGAGGGTAAATCTCATGTCACAGGACACTATTTCGTGTAAATATCATTCCTCTAAAAGGCAACGACCTCTAAGAGCTCCAGCCTTTGATTTCCTCTCAGTCATTCCTGCCGTAGACACGAATAGGGGCTGCTGAACGAGGTGCTGGGATGCAGAGGTGAGCGAGCCTCGTCTGTGCCCTGGAGGAACTCCTGGCCTTGTGGGAGTCATCCACTAAAGGGATAACAACCATTAAAGGACAGATGCCACCAACGGAGCCAGAGTCTATGCCAAGCACTGTGCACTGCCTCACTCCATCCATGATCTTCCCCATCTCTCAGAAAATTGAGGCCCAGGTCAGGAAACCAGGAGTGGTAAGGCTGGCAGGTTGCTATGCACACCTGGGTCTCTTATGTCTCCAGGCTAGTGCTCTTTCTCACTAGATTCCATGCTTCTGGAGGATGGGGACAGGATGGGGTAAGAGAGTGTGTGTGTGTGTGGGGGGGGGGGTGTCTTCATCCAATTCCCAGAGCCTGGTATCACAGAACAGGGGTCCAACTTGCCAAACTGTCACTGAGTTTTGTGGCACTAATTTCGTTTGTGCATAAAGTGCTAGGATCAAGGTGTGGGTCAAGTCTGTGGAAGGGCAGAGGGCTAAACTGCTAAGTTGGCCAGTGGACCTGGAAGTCCTGTCTCTTGGTTACCAATCACTTCCCAGGATTTTATTTTATTTATTTATTTATTTATTTTTTGAGAGAGAGAGAGGAAGGGGAAGAGGGGGAGTGAGAGATTGGAGAGACATTGATTCATTGTGCCACCAATGCATGCCTTCATTGGTTCACTCTTATATGTGCCCTGACCAGGGATCAAACCCACAACCTTGGCGTATAGGGAACGACACTCTAATCAACTGATCTGGTGGGACAGGACCTTTTCCTGCTTCCCACGTTCATTTATATTGGAGCTTCCCACAGGCCCAAAGGATGTGCTTCTAGTCTCTCTACGCCATCCATCAGTGCACCTGCCACCAGCTCTGATGACACCAGTCCCCTGCTTAACAACTTTTAACAGCTCCCCATCGCCCACTGGATTGAATCCAATCTTCTTGCCAGATGCCCAAGGCTCTTCCTGATCAGAGTTTGTCCAAATTTTCTTATCCCTTACTCTCACTGGTTTTAGAATTGCAGTCCGCCTGTGTGCAATAAACCTATCTCTTACCGAGGAGAGGATTTGGCTTCAGAAAACCTGGTCCTACTACTGGTGCTATTTCAGGAAGGCTTAGCAGGCTGGGACCTCCTTGAGGATAAGGGTGGTGTCTTATTTTTCTGTACTCTCCCACCAAGCTCAGGCCAGGCATTTGGAAGGCTCTGGTGAGTGGTAAGTGCTCATTCCGTTTATAAATAAAGTCTGCAAGCCAGGCACAGTGCTAGGTGCTGGGCTGCCGCAGAGGTAAAGCGGTCATGGGCTTCACAGAGCTTGCAGCTTAGCATGGTGCTATATAAACTTGACCCATTTTTATTGTGATGTGCCGGGTATGTATAGGAGGGAACGAGGTCTGGTCCCTTCTTTATGTCAATTTCTTTTTTTTATTTTTCATTTTTATTGATTTCAGAGAAAAAGGGAGAGGGAGAAAGAGAGAAACATTAATGATGAGAACCATTGATTGAAAAAAAAAAAAAAAGAACCATTGATTGGCTGCTTCCTGCATGCCCCCCACTGGGGGCTGGAGTCCACAACCTGAGCATGTGCCCTGATTGGGAATTGAACTGTGACCTCCTGGTTCATAGGTCGATGCTCAACCACTGGGCCATGACAGCCGGGCTATGCCAATTTCTTACTTTCTGCAACAGAACCATGAATAGACTGATGAGTTTCAGAGGGAAGGTGGGAGTGGGGAGGGAGAGAGATTAACTGGGGAACTTACAATACATGGATAGCCCACAGACAGAGACAATAGTGTGGTGAAAGCTTGGGAGGGGCGGTGGGAAACACACACACACAAAAACAATGGAAACATCTGTAATACTTTCAACAATAAAGATGTTTAAAAGAAAGATAAAGTGAGATAAGGGAAAGAACTCCATTTATTGTAAGCAGCTATACATTGTAAGGGTTGTTCCTACCAGTCTTTGCCTTACATTTACCTTTTCCATGTTTTAGTAATCCCACTTTCTCTGCTATTTTGGAAACTGTTAGAGAGGTTGGCTATGTCAGTTGTGAGTCTTCAAGACCTGGTTCATGCCTCCTTTCCGACTCTAGCTTTTCAGTCTAAGAGGCACCACCTTTAAGCCATGCCTTGACTCATGTTGCCTCCACCTGGATGACTCTACTCTGCAGGCCTTGCTTCAAGGTCACCTCCGCTTCCAGGCCCACCTCATTCCCCATCATGCACACTATTTGCTTCTATTAGTACTTATTCGTTAAACATGTATTTACTGGGTGCCAGGCCCTGTTCCAGGGGTGGCTATATCAGAGAAGAAAACAGTTCACATTCTAGTGAGAGAGGGTCATTACATAAGATCAGAGCGGGGAAACATACAGTATGTTTGTGTTAAATGCTAAAGAGGAGAAACCTGGGGAAAGAGGGACAGGTGTTGGTGTGTGTGTTTTTTCCAGCTGCTTATCTGTTTACTTGCTGTTTCTCCCACTAAACTATCACAGTGGGCATGTGATCACTAGGTGTTGCTCCAGGAGCAAAGGCCGCCTCCGTCGCTCTGGCTTCCAGGGGGAGGAAAGAGAAATCCTGAGGGAAAGGGAGGAAAGTCAGCCCTCTCGGCGAAGGGACGGCGGCGCTGGTGTGCAGGGCAGGGCCGCTCTCGGGCGTAGGAGAGGGACTCGGAACAGTGCCCGCAGCTGAGAGAAGAGAATGGAGAGGAGAGGACACGCACAGCGCACCCACTGAGTGCGCTAGCTTCGGCGTTTCTATTCTGTTTTTACAGCAAAGACCCCCGGGCTCAGAGGGAAGTGCCCTGCCCGCGCTCCAGCTGCTGGTTAGCGGCCCGGGTTCCTCCAAGTTCGGACTTGAAGTCCAGGTGTTCTAGTCCCGCCCCGGCCCCAACACGACCACTCACCTCCACGGCTGGGCTTCCCTGCACCTGGGGATCCTTCCTGTTCCCTCCCGCCCCCTGGGGGTGGGGCAAAGCAAGGATGCCCTGGCCTTCATTGGCTCGAATGGCTGCCACTCACAGGACGAGCTTTGGCGCCCAGCCCCTTTCGTTCCCAGCAGGCCTTGCGCACGGGAAGATGGCGGCGCCCAGGTGGAGGTCTTGAGGAGGAGATGAAGTCGGCAGGCATGGCGTTGGCGTCGGGGCCCGCAAGGCTGGCGCTGGCTCGCCCCGGGCGGCTCGGCCTTGGGGGCTGTGGGGCCCCGAGACGCGGGGCGTACGAGTGGGGCGTCCGCTCCACGCGGAAGCCCGAGCCTCCTCCCCTGGACCGGGTGTACGAAATCCCTGGGCTGGAGCCCATCACCTACGAGGGGAAGATGCACTTCGTGCCCGGCCTGGCGCGGCCGGTCTTCCCGCCCTGGGATCGCGGCTGGACGGACCCGAGGTTCCGCCAGCCGATCCCAGATCACGAGCATCCGCTGTACAAGGAGCGGACCTGCCACGTCTTCCACCCGCGCTGCCGCCTCCTGGAGGGTGAGGCCCCAGGCCGGGTGGACGGGGACCTCGCTCCTCTCCCCAGCGCTGACCCTCTGTAGCGTCGGGCAAGATATGGAAATTCTGAGGGTCTCGGTTTCTTGGTGTGTGAAATGGGGCCAGTAGGAATTCCTGTTTTCTGAGAGGCGTTCGGATTCAGTGGGGTGTAAGGTTCCTGATCGCTTCATGACCTCTATCTGTTTCTCCAGCTCTGTGTCTTCCAGAGTTTTGTTACAGAGTTTCCAGAGCATTTTCAAGTTTAAGGAACAAGGGCAGTGTCAGGGTTTTTATTTTTGTTTTTTTAAATATATTTTATTGATTTTGTACAGAGAGGAAGGGAGAGAGGTAGAGAGTTAGAAACATCGATGAGAGAGAGTTATCGATCAGCTGCCTCTTGCACACCCCCTACTGGGGATATGCCCGCAACCAAGGTACATGCCCTTGACCGGAATCGAACCCGGGCCCTTCAGTCCCCAAGCCAACGCTCTATCCATTGAGCCAAACCGGTCTCGGCGCATTCCAGGGTTTTTTATGCTCCACTGCAAAATCCAGAAATCCCATTTCTAAATGTCTGCATGGGTTTCATCCTAATACATGAGGCACATTTGGTAGATACAGGCTTTTCCTGTCAGTAACTGGGGGGAGGGGAGGGTAATAGAAGAGATCTGGGCTTTGAAAGGTTGGCATCCATTAATCTAATTGCGGGGAGGGTCAGTCTGAATGCAACAGACAGACCCTTATGCTCTCAGCCATCTCAGCCTTTTTAATTGCTCTGGTGCTGGCACACACTGTCTCAGTCATTAACCACCCATCAGTAGACAGTCATCCCTGACGTTGAGTTGAAATCTGGCTGTTCTAGTTTCTGCTCCTTATTGTTAGTTCTGACCCCTCAGGTGGACTCTCTTTCTCACTCTCTGTCTCTTTGCAGCCTTTTCCCCAAGATGCTACCAGATGGGCTTAAGTATCTCATTCTGAATTGCCTTTTGTGTGTGTGTGTGTGTGTGTGTGTGTGTGTGTGACTGACTATCCCAAAGGTGTAAAGCAGGCCCTCTGGCTTACCAAGACCAAGTTAATCGAAGGTCTTCCTGACAAAGTGCTTAGCCTTGTTGACGACCCACAGAACCACATAGAGAACCAAGATGAACGCGTACTGAACGTGATCTCTCACGCCCGTCTCTGGCACTCCACTGAAGAAGTCCCCAAGAGACAGTCCTATTGGTACGTTTCCCCCAAGTCAGTAAGATTTACAGTTGATGGATTTTGGGGTCAACATGTTGTTTTATGTCTCCAAATGTTTCTTCTTTTTCCCAAGCCCAGTCATTGTGGACAATCTGATACAGCTGTGTAAATCCCAGATTTTAAAGCATCCTGCTCTAGCCAAGCGGATCTGCGCCAAAAACTCCAGGATCTCCACCACCTGGAACCGAGGTTGGTCATCTTGTATGCCAGAAAGCTTTAGTCTTGCTTTTTATCTTTCTACTCTTAGCCTTACCACCAGCTCACATGATCAGCACCCCCCCATATTCATATCCTCACTTCCATTCTATTTTCAAAAAAAATATTTTATTGATTTTTTTACAGAGAGGAAGGGAGAGAGATAGAGAGCTAGAAATGTCGATGAGAGAGAAACATCGACCAGCTGCCTCCTGCCGGGGATGTGCCCGCAACCAATGTACATGCCCTTGACTGGAATCGAACCTGGGACCCTTCAGTCTGCAGACCGACGCTCTACCACTGAGCCAAACCGGCTTCAGCCTCACTTCCATTCTTCATGGTCCAATTTTGTAGGCTAAGGCACATCCTCAGTTTCATTAGCCATAGTTCAGCTTTTTTTTTTTTTTTTTTTTTAATATATTTTTTATTGATTGGCTGCCTCCTACAGTCCCCCCACCATCACCCCCACCCCTCACTGGTGATCAAGCCTGAAACCTGGGCATGTGCCCTTGACCAGAATCGAACCCAGGATCGTTCATTCCACAGGCTGGCAGTGTATCCACTGAGCCAAACCAGGTGGGGCTGTTCGTTTTGTTTTTAATCACTTTTTTCCAAGACACGTAATTCATCCCATCTGTTGAGTGCCTGCAAGTGCCTAAATGTTGACAACGGAAGGAGGTAATAAAGCACACAGAGTCTCTGCCCTCACAAAGCTCAAATTCTGTTGCAAGAGCCTTTGTAACTCATGCATGCTTTTCTCCTTTTCCAACCCATTTTCCACGTAGCTGCTAGAGTGCTTTTTCTAAGCTGCATGTCTTATGTCCCTCTTATACGAAATTCTTCACTGTCTCCCAGTAGCTTAAACCATTTATCATGGTACCCAAGGCCCTCTGTGGTTTGGCCACCAGCTAGTTTTTCTAGCCTTGTCTCTTGCTCTATAGCCTATCACTCCTCATGCCTAGATTTACACTTTAGCCACTTTCAAGCTTTTTGGCATCAAGATTTCACACCTTTGCACATGCTGTGCATTCTATCTGGAATGCTCTTTCCTACTTTCTTTACTTAAACTAGAGGCCCAGTGCATGAAATTCATGAATGGGGGTGGGGGTCCCCTCAGCGCAGCCTGAGCCCTCTCCAGTCTGGGACGTCTCAGGGGATGTTGGATATCCCTCTCACAATCTGGGACCACTGACTCCTATCTACTCAACTGCCTGCCTGATCACCCCTAACTGCCCCTCCTGCCAGCCTGATCACCCTAACCGCCTCTGCTTGCCGGCCTAATGGCCTCCTGCTGGCCTGGTCACCCCCAACTGCTGGCCTGGTCTCCTCTTACTGCCCCCCTTCTGACCTGGTTGCCCCCAACTATCCCCCTCTGTTGGCCTGGACCCCTAACTGCCACCTCCCCCACTGGCCTGGTCATCCCCAACTGCCCTCCCCCTGTCAGCCTGGTCACGCCACGCAGCCTGCTGTTCAGTTGTTTGGTTTTCCCTCACTAACCCCCTGCCAGCCTTGTTGCCCCTGCAGCCTGTTCTATTGTCCGTCCTGTTGTTTTGATTGTGACAGCCCCTTTCTTTTTATATATTAGGATTCTTACCTGTAGGATTCAACTCATGCCCCCTTCCTGTGTGTAGCCACAAGTTAACTATTCCTGCTTTGTGATCCTTATGCCCATTATGCATACTTTTTTCATAGTACATAGTATATTATATTGTAATTATCTAATACTAGTGGTCCGATTTATGAAATTCATGCGAGAGTAGGCCTTCCTTCCCCCAGCTGTCAATACTGGCTTCCCTCTGGCACCTAGGACCTGGGCTTCCTCTGATCCCTAGCAGGCACCTGACACTCTGACTTCTCTTGCAGCTATGCTTCATTCGGAAGGACATCCGGTCTAATTAGCATATTATGCTTTTATTATTATAGGTCTTTTCTCTCTGCTCCACTGCATTGTGAACTTCTGTCCACAGTGTCTTAAAAGTCATGGTAGTCCTAAACAGTTTGGCTCAGTGGATAGAGCGTTGGCCTGTGGACTGAGGGGTCCGAGGTTCAATTCCGTTCAAGGGCATGTACCTTGGTTGAGGGCATATCCCCAGTGGGGAGTGTGCAGGAGACAGCTGATCAATGTTTCTCTCTAATCGATGTTTCTAACTCTCTATCCCTTTCCCTTCCTTTCTGTAAAAAATCAATAAAATACATTATTAAAAAAAGCTCATTGTACATCATAGGTGCTGACTAAAGGGAAGGTGAACGAATACCAAATTTCAAGTGTCTCAGGCATAGATGGTCAGAGTACACAGGTGTTCTGATGAATGGAAACCTGAAGCAGGGAGACCAGCTAGGGAATAATTTGGGATTTTCAGGACATCTGCTTGGTCACATTTCTCCAGCTTGCCCTTTGAGTCCGGGCTGCCTGGCAAGGAGTCAGCTTTGCAGAGGTAATGGCACCACTAAGGAAATTAGTGAACCTCATTAATAGAGGAGCACTTGTTGGCCCATTGTCAAGTATTACCTCTAATTAAACTGCCCCATTTGGCGCTGTCACTGGAGGAGGGATATGGAGGGAATTGAATTGGAAACCACACTGGAGTGGTCTGTGGGGAGAAGCTGAAACCAAGGTTAGGAGAGGTCCTGGCACATTTATCGTGTTTGCAGATTAAATGTGAGGAAACAGGAAATACTTTAGAAAACTGTTCCTGAGGTATATAGGTGTGATTTATTTTAACAAATAGATCAGAATTTATTCACAGATGTAGTATCCCGTTTTTACATATCCAATAAGGGAGGCTAATTAAATGGCAGTTTTTAATGGCCACAAAACACATAAGCTTGTTCTTTCTTGTTGTTGTTATTAATATGTTTTTATTGATTTCAGAGAGGAAGAGAGAGATAGAAACATAAATGGTTAGAGTCAGTGATCGGCTGCCTCCTGCATGTCCTTCACCGGGAATCGAGCCCACAACCCGGGCATGTGCCCTGACTGGGAATCGGACTGTGACCTCCTGGTTCGTAGGTCGACATTCAGTCACGGAGCCATGCCAATTGGCAAGCTGCTCATTCTTGATCCATTACTATTGCACAGCTATTTGACTATTTCTAAAAAACCACACGTCTTTAGAGGAAGATTTGCCTCAGGGAGCCATTCTCAAGTTCTTCCGTTTTCCTGGTTGTGGCATGAGGCCACCTGGGGGACCTCTGCTGATATGCTGATCCAACTTGAGAGGGGCTTCCTGGCCTGGTTTCTTTCACTCTGTTACTGAGGACATCCTGGGTTTTATAGCCTTTTCCTGAGCTTCTAATCTCAGTACTTCTTTCTCTCTGCTCTCCCTCCCTCCATACCATACTCTGGTCATCTGGATTCACTTCCTTAAACTCGACCATGGAGCAGCACACCTCTGTGCCTTTGCACATGTCACTCCTTAACTAGAATGCTTTCTGCCCCTTCCTTTGTCTGGCAAACTCGTACCCAGCGGTTTTCAATCAAGGGCGGTGTGGCCCTCGAGGGGAGATTTGCCAGTGTCTGGATACAGTTTTTATTGTGACATGACTTTGGGCTGTGGAGGTGGGGAGGGAATTCTGGCATCCAGG